GAAGCCCTGCAGTTTCTTTGTGCAGCTTTTCCAAAAATAGCTTTTATTGCAAAATCCTGTTTTCTTTGTCTGTTGTTTACACTGGTTCAAATAAAGTTTATGAAGTGTTATAAAACAGAGGGAACCAAATGTCATCCTCTGCTCAGCCTGCTAGGTCTTCTCAGCTCCACAGGCTTTTTAGGGAGGAGCTATAGCTCTGGGTGGCGCTGTGGGTTAAACCACAGAGCCTAGGACTTGCCAATCAGAAGGTCGGTGGTTCGAATCCCCGCAACGGGGTGAGCTCCCGTTTCTCCGTCCCAGCTCCTGCCAGCCTAGCAGTTCGAAAGCACCTCAAAGTGCAAGTGGATAAATAGGTACCACTCCGGCGGGAAGGTAAACGGCATTTCCGTACGCTGCTCTGGTTTGCCAGAAGTGGCTTAGTCATGCTGGCCACATGACCCGGAAGCTGTACGTTGGCTCCCTTGGCCAGTAAAGCGAGATGAGCACCGCAACCCCAGAGTTGTCCGCGATTGGAACTAATGGTCAGGGGTCCCTTTACCTTTACCACTGGTATGTGTTGCCCTCCACCCCAGGGTTGGTCAAAAGTGAATGCAGCCCTCAGGCTAAAGAGACTTAGCTATCCCTGTTCTAAGAGGCTGTTGAAGGAATATTAAGAAAACCCTTTGAAATGCTTTATATTTTTCTAATGAGAAAAAAAAATCATTCCTTGCAGAGTAAGGATTTTCCCTGGAGCCAGTTGAATACCAGGTAAATGACACACCTTCCTTCTGGAAGCTTCTCTTGTTCCAAAGTCAGTCTTTGAGAATCGGGTTTTGCAAGATACTTAGGACCAATATATGTTTTATATATGTGTGTGTGTGTGTTTTAAGAAAGGCCTTTTACCCAGTTCCCTCCATTTAACCCAGGATAAGACCTTGAAATGCGGAGAGTGCAAAGAGATTTAATTGAACCATTTAAAAATAAACCCTCAAGCAAGTTGGCAGCCATTTAGGCCCTTGGAATGAATGAAGGTGTAATAAATAATATGCTCCAATCAGGTATCAGAATCTCAGTGCAGACATCAGCTAAAAATATATGCTCTAGCTCATGACTGATTTATTCTTCCTCTGCTATTCCATTTAAAAGGCATTAGATTGATGCCCTGAAAGTGACAAAAGTGTTGACTGAAAGATTCATATCACAATCAGATGAGAGATTAAAAACTCTGAAATCTAGGAACCTAGGAATAACCCGACGATTCTGAATAACCCTGATGCAAAAGTAGTAAGAACATAAAAAGAGCCTGCTGGATAAGGCCAGTGGTCCATCTGATTCTGCATCCGGTTCTCACATTGGCCAATCAGATCATACCAATGGGAAGGATGTAAGCAGGACTTGAGCAAACAGCACTCTCTCATCCTGCAGTTTCTAGCAACTGGTATTCACAAGCTTACTGGCTTATACTTATTCCGCCTGGCCTTTGGCTTGGAGCCAATTTGATTCCCTCCCCCTCTTTCTTTTTTCTTTTCCTTTCTCCTCCTATGATGAGGCTACATTTTAATATTTTAATGTTTCAATATTTTAATGTTGTATTTTAATTTTGTTTTTAAGTTGTATTCATTCAACTTGTTTTTATTATTGCTTGTTAGCCGCCCTGAGCCTGGCCTTGGCTGGGGAGGGCAGGGTATAAATAAAAATTATTATTATTATTATTCTTACTTCCACTAAAATTAATGGGCCTAAGTCATGCTTGGTTACCTTGCATTGTGCTTTGCCTTGAATTATTTTGATTTTCTTATGTTGTACAGTGGTACCTCGGGTTACATACGCTTCAGGTTACATACGCTTCAGGTTACATACTCTGCTAACCCAGAAATAGTGCTTCACGTTAAGAACTTTGTTTCAGGATAAGAACCGAAATTGGGCTCCAGCTGTGCGGCGGCAGCAGGAGGCCCCATTAGCTAAAGTGGTACCTCAGGTTAAGCACAGTTTCAGGTTAAGAACGGACCTCCGGAACGAATTAAGTGCTTAACCCGAGGTACCACTGTATTGTGCATTTGTACTGAATGCCTTTAGGGTTGCCATACATATCCGAAATACTGCAGTGTCCGGGCGGAAATTGGTAAAACCCTAGAATAGCTCATTTGGTTAGAGTGTGGTGCTGATAGTGCCAATGTTGCAGGTTTGATCTCTGAATGGGACAGCTGCATATTTGACTAGATCAGGCATGTCCAAAGTCCATTCTGGGAGCCTAATCCGACCCACCGTTCAATTTAATCCGGCCCCTGTGGCAGTATATGTCCTGGGGTAAAATTCTAAAAAAAAAGCTCAGCAACTTCAATCCTAAAAAAAACTCAACTTTGGTCGGCCCTCATGCATGTTCACTTCATCAACTCTGGCCCTCTTTGAAAAAAGTTTGGACACCCCTGGACTAGATGATTCTCAGGGTCCCTTCTAACTCTACAATTCTAAGATTCTATTATTTTGCTGTTATTTGTAAGTAGATAAGCTTGTGTAAAGCAACAAATAAGCTTGATGATTATGAAGTCAGTTTGCAATAAAGAAGGTTTAGAATTGGGCTAGAAGGTGCTGCATCACACTGAAGAAGCGTAAACTTGAGTTCTGTGTCAATTTAATCACCAAGACAAAATGTAAGCTGAGAAGCCAACATAAGAAAAACAATGGGGACAAAGCTTTTATTTGAGAGATATACCTCAGAAAGAATTATAATCTGCCCAGACATGAAGCATTTTTTTTCTGGAGCAAAACTAAAACCTATGCAGCGAATGTTGCATTGTAAAACCAACAACAAAATAAATGATAAGCTTTCAATCTATTTTCTCCTCAGAAAACTGATGAAATACAAGAACATGAAATAATGGCATTAGCAGAGGAAAGTCCAGAAATGTTGAAGAAACAAAAAGCTGTAATATTTTTCACGTCTCAGACAATTTTCTCTGAGAGCAAACGATAAGGTCTCTTCACTGAATATGACAGTAAGAAAAAAGTGTTATAAATTCGTGAGTAGGTGCAGTGCTTTTTTCTGGGGGAACACGGGGGTGCGCATACTCCTAAACATTTTGTGAATCTTTGTACTTTGGTCCATTTTTTGCATTTATTTTCCCCGATCTGAACTCTAAAATGGTGATTTTCTTGAGTCAAAAGAAGAGTACCCCTAAATATTATTTTTAGAAAAAAAGCACAAGTAGGTTGCAGAATACAAAAAAAAGCAGTAAGAACTATTCAGTGAAGATGCTGGAAGTGTGGTAAAGACTTGCGAGTTCTGGCAAAATTGACTTATATGGCAAAAAAAGACAATTATGAGATTTTTTCTTGAGAAAAGGGGAAACGTTTATTCTGTATGTTAGATCTAGAGGATGTGTTTTGGAAGGGAGCTATGGTTTCTCACTCTTTGGAGTTGCAGACTGGAGAAAGGATAGTAATGGATCATCTGCGAAGATATCTGTTTTTCCTACTAAAGGTAAAGGTAAAGGTACCCCTGCCCGTATGGGCCATTCGTGTCCGACTCTAGGGTTGCGCGCTCATCTCGCTCAAGAGGCCGGGAGCCAGCGCTGTCCGGAGACACTTCCGGGTCACGTGGCCAGCGTGACTAAGCGGCATCTGGCGAGCCAGCACCAGCGCCGCACACGGAAACGCCGTTTACCTTCCCGCTATAAAGCGGTACCTATTTATCTACTTGCACTTAGAGGAGTGCTTTCGAACTGCTAGGTGGGGAGGAGCTGGGACTGAACGACGGGAGCTCACCCCGCCGCGGGGATTCGAACCGCCGACCTTGCGATCAGCAAGTCCTAGGCACTGAGGTTTTACCCACAGCGCCACCCGCGTCCCTGTTTTTCCTACTAGGAGACAACAATTCTACAGAACTGTGTTGTGTGTATTTGGAACGTATGTTTGCTCTTACATTATGCTGTAAACTATAATGTCATACTTGCAGTCTATCTGCCTCCTTATTTTGCTCGGACACACTGTTGGCAACAGCACCAGACATTCTTGGGCAGCTGCAGGGGGTTGCCTGACCTATGGTATCCTTGAATTTGTTTTCCTGGTCTAGTGCTCTGAGCGGCTGGGTCCAGTTACCATTTTAATTTTCCCCAATGTATCATCAGCCTGCAGCATTGTAGAAAACTGAGATGGCAGCTGTCAGGTGGTGTTTGAAGCATTGTTACATGACACTGCTGCCAGGGCTCACCAATAGATTAGGAGCTCCACAAGAGGGCACTTTGTCCAGGGTCTCCTCAAATCTTTCTTGGAAAGCTAGAAATATCCTCCCAATTTGTAAGTCATTTTGGGAGACTCTCAGTGCTATAAAATGGGATTTACTTAGTCTAAAGTTTAAACACACACAAATCCTAAATGGGTGTGGTTCCATTTGTTCTAATTATTTCTCACATTGTTTACAGAAGACCAGGACAACCAATCCACATTCCCTCTTAGGAAACCCTTGTATCTTTGAAGATTACCATCAGTCTCTCCATAGTCTTCAATTGCCACAAAAATGCCAGTACTTTCATGAAAACCCTTAAGCCGTCAGGGCTTCTCACTTTGTCATGCAGAGTCCTGGATTCCCAATTGCAATCCTTTCCTGTATTGGGATAAAACCTCTCACACACGGGTACATCTATTCTGACTCTACAATATATGTTTGCTTCATTCAGGAATATACCTACATGTAAAAAATGACATGTCGAAATAAAAACAAGTTTTAAAAAGTGATTGAAAATGTAGGGTAAATTTCAACAGTAAAACTTATGGGAGTTGAAACAAGTGATGTTCCAAAACCTTTCACCATTGTTCAATTATCTTCAAGTTATTCAGTGAGCCATATCATTTTTCTTTTAGGACACTGAGTAGAGAGATGCAGTAAGTAGCCGCTTGAGCAAACTATCATTGTTATGACTTTAAAGTATTGTTTTCTGAATCTAGGAGTAGAACCATTATGAAACTATTAACCTGGTTAGCTCTGCAGATAATTGATTATCATTTTCTACAACATACCTTTTACAAATGTAGTAGAAATTTATTAGCAGTTAATGAAAGCAATAAAGTTGGGAGATGAACTTATACATAATTTTTAATCAATAGCAAAATAATTTTTTCTTTTTAATTAAAAATGTACAGTAAATTTATAAACAACAGCACTCATTTAAAAGTGAGGTATTCCATTCTTTTAAAAAAAATACAATATATTTTACAATAAAGTGCATATAAAAAAAATTATATTTTGCCCTAAAGGTAAACTAGGTAACAAGCAATCAATACTTGCGTTACATCTTTTATTTTGTTTGAGTTGTTTTTAATAGCATTTAAGGCATGTTGCAAATAATTATGTTACAAAGATAGCAGCTGAGAATATATTAAAATAGATCCCAGTTCAATAGCCTCTGTTAGACCAAATCAGTATCTTCTCTGCGTTAGGTTTCGAGGGTCACCTGATGTGCTCTTGTATCTTTGCATGGTAGGGATGATGTCCATGTATGAGGGAGATGCAACCTGGAAGACCAAGAGAAAACACAACACAAGCAGCTTAAAGTGTTCTGACAATACATTATTATTATATACCACCATTCATCAAAAGATATCAGGGCACTTCACAGAATACAAAATAAAACACAAGTAAATAATTAAATCAAATCAAAACAAAACAAAACAACAAAACAACCTCCTCTCCCTACAGACATATTTAAAAGACTGTAGGATATTAATCAGCCTAATAGACTATCTTGCTGTGGTGGATAGGAGACTGAGTTTGCTTTCTGAACGAAGGTTAGATCTCTGTGTAGTGACTCTTAACCATATAAAAAAGCATTGATAGCTCCTGCGAACCTATCCTTATCTCCACCTTAGCTTGCTGATGAGGCACAGGTTCTCTGTTCTGGAATAACTACGGTATGTAGAGTTCTCAAGGCTCTCACTGCCTCACCCTTTTATAGCCACTGAAAGAAGAACCACTAAGACTGTTATTTATCCTTAACAGTGATCTTCATGGTCTTCATAATTGCAGCTTGCAGTTGAAGAGGCTAAGGATGGTGGCTCCACTCTGGAACTGATGGAGGTAAGGATAGGTTCCAAGCAGTGTATGCTCTTTTTTTGAGATGCTGGATACCAGAGCCAAGACCCGGTGACATAGGGAACTAGGTTTCAAGCCCAAGTACAGATAGACCTGAAGCAACATTAAGGTTTCCTGGATGAAAATACTGTAGCAGGCACCTTGTTTGAGTACAGCCAGTTATTCAGTCACCAAGTGGGTTAGTGTAGCCAAACAGAATCTGGGTGCAACAGACCTAGAGACAAAATGTCTGGTAGACTGAGGGACTAGGCTCTTAGTGGGTCTTTGAGATTTGACAAGTGGCCAACCTATCTTCTGGACCACTGAATCATAGAACTGGAGAGCTGGAAGGGATCTTGAGGGTCATCTAGTCCAACCTCCTGTAATGCAGGAATCTCATCTAATAATAATAATAGTAGTAGTAATAATAGTAATAATAATAATAATAATAATAATAATAATAGTAATAACAACAATAATTATTTTATTTTATTTTTTATACCCCACCCATCTGGCTGTTTCCCCAGCCACTCAGGGCAGCTCCCAACAGAATGCTAAAAGCAGAATAAAACTTCAAACATTAAAAACTTCCCTAAACAGGGCTGCCTTCAGATGTCTTCTAAAAGTCAGATAGTTGTTTATTTCCTTGACATCTGATGGGAGGGTGTTCCACAGGGCAGGCACCACTACTGAGAAGGCCCTCTGCCTGGTTCCCAGTAGCTTCACTTATTGCAATGAGGGAACCACCAGAAGGCCCTCAGAGCTGGACCTCAGTGTCTGGGCTGAATAATGGGGGTGGAGACGCATCCATGACAGATGGCCATCCAACCTCTGCTTGAAAACCTCCAATGAAGGGGAGTCCACAACCTCCCGAGGGAGTCCATTCCATTGAGAGGCTATGAGGATGACTGAGGCTTCTTCCCCATTTATCCTTCTCAAGAGTCTTGAATGGAGAGGGACAAGAGGAAAGGCTTAATTAAAGGAAGCCTTTCATCTAGGGCAAGTGGGCTGGATCGAATTCCTCCACCCTGTTCAAAATGAACCTTGGCATGGAGTACTTTACATTCAGAGGGGTAGCAAATAGTTCTAGGATAGAGGTGCTGAAGTGCTACTGGAGGATGTTGAATGTTGGCTGAGACAAGCATCACTCTCTGGGGTTTCATTAATAGCTAAAGAAATAGGCAGTTGGGTTGAGACTCTGCTAAGATTTACAGGGACTCAAGTCTTGAGGTACAGAGACCAGGTTTGGGTCTGTTCACATATTGCAAGTCTGAGATGGATCTCCAGTTGCCTCCTTTGCAGAGGAGCCACTAAGCTGGGGGGAAATTGGAATGGGGAAATGGCAGATGGGAAAAGTATTAAGTAATCTCTCCTGTCTATTCTCTGCCTTAAATTCTCGCATACCATCCTGAAGCAGCTTTGTTTCTTTTCTTTTTCTTTTTAAAAAAAGGCATCCAGGACACTGTTACATGCATTAGCACACAGTTATTACAGGATATTAGACGAACACATCTTGCTAGATCAGATTAAAATCCATGTAGTCCAGAATTTTGGTTCAGACAGCAGGCAACCATATGTCTTTGAAAGAGTGCAAGTGGATGATGATCTCTGCTGCATCTTTATCATAAACAAACAACATACTGTTCATATGCATTTTACAATGGAAGAGCAAATGGGTATGCTTACCAAAGGGGAAAGAGTCTGTAAAACATTTGTGGAGGATGGGATTTTTTTCATGGTCTCATGGACATCTAAAATGGTATAAAATAAGAAATTTCAAGTTTATGGTGGGGAAAAACAAGGTGTACAATAATTTATTCCCCCTTCAGATTGTAAATAATACAGACTCTATGTTACCTACAGTTTTTGCTCCCTTTGCAGGGCTGCAGAAGCACTAATTTTATTTCATATTTATTTTTTAATTTCAAATTTGTAGAGAGGAGGTCTATAAATGTCTACAATTCATGGCGGTATATGAAACTATCCTCAGAAGTGGTGGGGCATTAAGTGCTAGTTGCTGCACAGCAATAACCCCTGCTTGGGGGCTTCCAAAAGCCACTTGAATGGCCACTGTGGGAAATGAGATATGAACTCTTCTGGTACAAAGCTCTTTTATGTTCTCAAGCGTTCAGCTCAGCTTTTTCGGGCTATTCAGTTTGCAGGCATGTAGTACTTTTGGATCCACGAACAAGGTGGCACGGTAGCCAGGGGCACTCTTCCACCAATTCCACTTGGTAGGCACCCCTTTCAGAATTAAGTCTGGCGGCCATCATTTGATGGGCTACCCTGTGGAATGAGGTAGCTTGTCCTGTGAAAGGGGTGGGTTCAAAAGCAAGTGACAAAGGATTCTGAACTTCTTATCTCCTCCTTCCATCAATATCCCCTGCCTAATCTCAGATCTGTCATAAATCAAAACAGAGTTTGAAATAGAGTGTGAGTAGCAAAACATTCTGGTCCTAAAGCATGAGAGAGAGGCAGGAAGGATAGAAAATTGTTGAGATCATACCTGTTATTGGATAATTTGTAAGGTTTGAAGCAACTTTGGATGTTCTCTGTCTTTGAAAAGAATGGACTTTTGCTTGACCAAACAAATGCCCCAATTATAGTTGTATGGGAGTCCTCATGTCTAGAGAACTCCCCTATATCTACCATCTTCACAGAGGCTCCAATCTGCTTTAAAGTGCTTATGTGCAAAAACCGGCCTTGCCACGCGATTCTTCCATACATACCATATGGCTGCAAATGGGGGCAACTATTTGACTAGGGAAATGAAAGGTAGCTTGTCACATTCCCATCTTCTGTACTGTAAGCTAAATAAAGCATCTAGGAACAGCAGTTCCACTATCGCATAACCTTGTAACTAAATAATTATTATGCCACTGCATGGTATATTTGTTAGAAAACTGGGAGACAACACAGCTGGAAGCTGAAATGATTATTCTGGCAGTATTGCTTATTTACATTTAAACTGCAAACCTATGTGCACTTACTGGAAGACCTACTGATCTCAGTGGAACCTACTACCAAGAAGAAAGGCAGAGAGTTGCATTGATAGAGTTGACTACCCTGGTGAATTTCATAGCATGATCTGCTGACTACTTACTAAGTAGCTTTTGATTAATGCGGTCGAGTGACTGAAGAACTTTGTGCTCTTCAAATGACAATGCACTCATTCCTTGCCGTGCAGGTCTGTTTAGCACTGTAGTCTGTTTGTATGGTTGAACTGTGTCCAAATCAATCAAGATGTCACTTTCTGTAGCTGATGTGTTTGCTAAGTTTTCTGCCAGCATAAACTGTGTAGTACTGTCTGAAACTAATAACAGAAATGTGTATTGTAGAAAAGGTTAGAAAGAAAACAAACAAAAAACTGGATTTGCTCCTGGGGTCAATTTGTTTTAATATCCACCTTTTACAGCCTTTCTCCATCACTAACAACATGTATTTGTGCATCTTTCACAAATAATTTTATTTATATTTGTTCCCACAGAGCATCATGACCCTATCCGAGCAACATTAGAATTGTGTTTGAGGACGCCCTGTGGTCTAAACCACTGAGCCTCTTGGGCTTGCTGACTGGAAGGTTGGCAGTTCGAATCCCCATGATGGGGTGAGCTCCCGTTGCTTGGTCCCAGCTCCTGCCAACCTAGCAGTTCGAAAGCACATCAAATAGTAGATCAATAGGTACAGCTTCGGCGGGAAGGTAAACGGCGTTTCTGTGCTCTGGTTTCGCTGGCCACATGCTGGCCACATGACCCGGAAAAGCTGTCTGCGGATGAATGTTGGCTCCCTCAGCCAGTAAAGCGAGATGAGCGTTGCAACCCCAGAGTCGTTCATGACTGGACTTAACTGTCAGGGGTCCTTTACCTTTTTTATACACCTTTTCTGTGCATCCAAATATTTCCCCCACTTTTGATTCAGAAAGTAAATGACATAAGACTATCATCACTTTCCTATAATGTTTCTGTGAGAAATGGACACGTGACAGATACCCGATCTTTTTAAAAATTGCCTTTTTTCTGTGGTTTTCTTCAACTGCTCTTAAACCTTTTACCATTTCTCACTACCCGGAACCCTCTTGTGTGTTAAGACTGTGTCTTTTTCCCCCCACTTATGTACAACACCTTCTTGTTACAAGCTACAAATGGGAATTTATATGCAAAATTCAAAGATATTCCTTAACTGGGAAGGACATGATACTTAGCAATGAATAGGTTTATAATAAAAACCTTAAAATAATAATTCATAGCAACAGTCAGATTGAAACATGCTGTATTACCTTCATCAGAATTACTGATGCCACCCATGGCTTGCACTATATCATTTGCACAATGAGGTGGTGCTCGCTTCACAGCTTGTGTCGTATTCTATAAAAAAAAAGAATTTTATTATCAAACTGCTTGAAAAAATAAATCCTGGCATTTCATGGTCCAGAAGTGCTAACGTTACTCTGAAATGAAAATCAAATAATGAAAAAGCCTTAAAACACACACACACACAGATCTATAACATATGCTGCTGTATTATGGAGGACATTAACCTGTGATAGTGGTGATACTGAACTACAGCAGAAAAATTTAATAGACTGCAATTCCCACATAGTGCTCTGTGATAACCCATGAACAGGTTACATATGCAAGTATATTTAGGATATAGTAAACCTGAACAGTTATTTGTGAAATGACTCCACCAGAGAGTTTCCTTTATAACGTACAAAATACCTTCTCTCTACATTCTGCCTTATCAGAGAAGTGGAAGCAAGAGGTCTAGAGATAACTGTAGAATCTATTTTCTACTGGAAGGAACATTTTAATTTTCTTTAGTTTTCTAACTGCACGATACAGAATCCATTTCCCTAGGACAGCAATTTTTGGTATTTTTCAGTCAAAAATTTATCAGATATACCTGTATGACACTAGTGGGCTTCCATACTGCAGAGGCTGCCTTTTGTCTCCTCTGTTCTAAAAGAGCCTTGCGTTTATTTTCATTATTTTCAATACTTTGTTTTCGTCTTGTCATGGCAAAAGTAGCTGAAAAGGATAAAAAAGCACCACAAAACACACACCCTTGTTATATTGTTTTATACTTAAATTATAATTCTAGTTTCAATGTTATTTATAAGCCACTTCGAACACATATAGGGAGAACATAGTAGCAAATAAATAAATATGCAGAAAAAGTTATGGTTAACTTGAGTTTACTTTTGGATTATATCAGTAATGTTGAGCAAGATAGATGGCAAACCTGCTTGTATGGTACATATATGCTTCGCCTCATGGAACAAATGTACAATTCTGGGTGTGTGTTGTTTGAGGAACCTTGTGAGGAAAACAACAAAAACTTCCTCCTGTACCATGGCTCTATTCCAAACCACTTCTATTTACTCTTTACAAAACGACAATCCATTTATAGATCTCCCACCATTGCATCTAGTTTGGGCCTTAGGTTTCCAGCAGAGGGCTTTCCTAGTCCAACTATCTGAGATTCCTTTAGCAGGAGATGATGGGGACTGAACCTGGAATCTTTTGCAGGCAAGAATGTGCTCTACCACTTAGCTATGGGTCAACATTTGGGCTAGTTTATAACTAGAGCTGCAAATTGGTAGATTAATTAAATAGAGCTTTAGTTTATTGATGGGAGCAAATTCAAATCAATGAAGTTAAAAGTAAGGATATTGTCAGGGAACTGCCATCAGTGCAGGATGGAGAGAGCAAAAGCCAGATGGATTATAGAGAGCCTCCAGGGATCGTGGGAAGTAGCTCCTCTTCAACGCAAGAGAATAAACGCGGCTCCAGTGGAGAGGAGGTGCAGGAGTCGGAAGTGGCGAGGCGGTCCCAGGACTCCTTGCCTGGGAGAAGCGGGGAGGGAAGGGGTCCTCCGCTGCCCACGCCCTCTTTGCGCAGAAAGCATTCACGCAGAGAGGGGAGGCGCCAACTGGGCATCAAGGAGCTGCTTTGTTGGAAGAAGTTTAAGAACCGCCCACTCACGGATTCTGCCAGCGATTGAGTCAGCCACGGGAGAGTGGTGCTCCGGACTGATAAAGTTTATTTTGGTAGCTAAGCCAATCTTTACAGCCAAGTAGGGAGATATTTGCCTGCTTCCTCCCGAGCAACCCCTTGGAAACATAACAGATATATTTGTTAATTTAGCTTATTTTCAAATTCTCTAATTTTCCTCTTGTGGTAAAAATACTAAAAATTATACTAGTGCTGATAGTACTGTAAAGGAATGTTTGGAAAAGACAAGTGCAGAAGAATTTTCATGAATAAAGCCCTCGATTAGCATGTGAGCTATAGAAGAAACCACTTCAGAATATACCAGCATACTCTAATTTATCAATATGAACTCTCAGTACTTAGGAAAGTTCCACAACCATACATGCCTATCCCAGGTACCCTTCTACATTACAGTGGTACCTCTGGTTGCGAACGGGATCTGTTCCGGAGGCCCGTTCGCAACATGAAAAGAAAGCAACCTGCAGCGGTGTGTCTGCACATGCGCGGGTTGCGATTCGCCACGTCTGCGCATGACATCATTTTGTGCTTCTGCGCATGCAGCGAAACCCGGAAGTAACCCTTTCCAGTACTTCCAAGTTGCCGCGGGACGTAACCTGAAAGAACGTTACATGAAGTGGACGTAACATGAGGTATGACTGTATTTACTCTCAAAAAGTTGCCAGTGCGGAAAATGCAGAATTGAAACTAGGGTACAGACTCAATCCAAACTTCACACATGGCTCATTGATTAAAGATATTCCTTAACTATACATATATTACTGTATAAGCTTTATTATTCAAGATTCATTAAATTTGGCCTATATATATTCTCGTTTTCTCTCCCCCCCCCAACAAAATTTGATAAAGGAGGAACCTTACTGCTTGGTGGAGAAGCAAATATTGGATTCACTCTGACACCTGATTTAATACTGCCCATCAGATTGCCACCATCAATTGTGATGTGAGTCACATTAGGTCTAGTGGGTTGCAAGTCACCATTATTTGAATTATTACAGAGTGTAACACCATGTTGTGAATCTCCTGAAAGAAAAGAAAAACACACAAGAAGATTTAAAAATTATATTGTCAGGCTAACTTCACTCAGCAGTTCAGAAATTAGTCAGGAATGTGTGTGTGTTTTACAACCAACTGTATTATTTCACCCAATTGCTTTAAGGCATGTGGGGTGAAGTTGCAGCAAGACCTAATTTACCAGCAGATGATTAGACCAAATCAATGTATGAATGTGTAAGTTAAACATTCACTCAAGGCGCGTCCAATCTCCCTTCATCACTGAAGCACCACAGGTTTAAGCACACTGTCCAGGACTCTGTTAGATTACAGCCAAAGGATTCAGTCATTAACAAAAATGAACTTTCATTTCATTAGTAGCAAACTGTTATATCAGATAACAGCTACTAATATTATTATTGTTGTTGAATTAATAAATCACCTTTCAGATAAATTTACAGGCAATGTACAAATATAAAATAAAACAAGTGAAACAAGTAAAAATAAATTTAAATACAATACAATACAACACACAAGGCAGAGACATGTCCCCCCCGCCATCCAGCTGGAAAGGCAAAGTGAAGCAAAAGCATATTCAGTTGTTTCTGGAAACTCCAGATAGTGGGCACCTGTTGTATCTCAATAGGGATGCTTTTCACTTAACAGTGACAGCTACACCTGCTTCAAATTACTGTGTAGTGGGATTCTGATATTTTAGGAACTTCAGGGAGAGATCCTCCTGCAAAATGCAGTGGCTACTAGGTATGTAGTAAGTAAGGCAGTCTCTCAAGTAACCTAGTCCTAAGCTGCATAGGGCCTTATACAGTGGTACCTTGGTTTACAACAATAATCCGTTCCGGAGGTCCGGTTGTAAAACAAAACAGGTTGTAACCCAAGGTGTGCTTTCACCAATGGGGCCTCCCCCCCAATAAAAGGGGGGGGGTTTGTAATCTCCAAAAAAGGGACACACCCGGGTTTGCCGTGGTTGTAATCCAAAATGGTTGCAAACCAAGGTACCACTGTACAGTAAGTTCATACCAAAACCTTGAACTTGGCTCTGTAGCAGACTGGTAGCCTGTGCAGATCCCACAGGCAATGTGTTATATGCTGGTGGCAGTTTGCTCCCATAAGCAACCTAGGCATCATGTTGCGTGCTAGCTGGAGCCTCGGGACCACCCTCAACATCCCCACAAAGAGTTCATTGCAGTAATCCAACCTTGAAATTACAGATGAGCTGAGATTTACAACATACTGGGAAATCTGCTTGCGTTACCAGGGCTGATATCCTGCCCACTGGCGGAGGAAGAGGGGAGCGGGGGGGAGTGCACAGCCCTGGCAGAGCGATCCTGGTGGGGTGCCATTGCAGCTGCCCCCCCACCCGTGCTGGGTGCCATGCCCCTGCGGGAGGCGCACCCCACCCAGGACACGCGCCAGCCCCGCCCTGCCTGCTCTCTGCCCTCCCCCGGTGCCGGAGCATGAAGCTCCGCCACTGATCCTGCCTGGACTGCCTCTAGTACCTGCTGCCACTGAGAACTCCTGTAGTTGTCAGCCTCTCCTTCCCCTTGCAAGTGGGCTAATCTGGTGATGTTGGCGCTAAAAAGTACTGGGAGGAAATGGCTACTTCCTTCCATTTGGCAAGTCAAGGTCAGCAACACTGTGGGAGATAAATATGGCAGCCACCAGGTGTCGAGCAGAGATAACCTACTTGGCTGCAGGCCCACTGCCAAATAAGCCTGCTTGTGAGGGGGAAGGAGGTGGCTGAAGTATTGTTAACATCAGGGAGCCCAAACAGTGGGAGGTGCTGGGTTGGGTGAGGGCAGCCTGCTCATGGCTCCTCCAAACCCAGAGCTGGGCTTGTTTATATATGAAAATGCATCGGAGATGGCTTGATTCAGCTCTACTAAAAATTCTAAAGGAGCTTTTATCCTCCAGTCAGAAAAGGCACCGTGGTTTTATCCACTGTGGTTTTATCCACATTCATCAGGGCTGAGCTAGTCACACCTATTTGTAAATGTCATGGTCAGGGACTGACTAAAACCAGTAATGGGCAGAATACTACTTGTTAGAAACAATTTTTGTCTTGGTTTTGAAAGGAAGTATGTCCAGTCTGGTCTTTCTCTTTCAGTACACTCCTGCCCTTTTGTTATTTCTGACGATAATGTGAGATTGGCACAATATGCCTGAAATTAAACGTCTTTCAAAGTCCCTCTGAATGGGCCCTGTTATTAGTTCTGATTTTATCAAATATACAATCTTATAAATCATTCTAATTCAGTGAAAACACATAAATCTTACCAGCAGCACCATCCTTTTGAGCCAGTGCACGATGCACTCCTTGCCACAAAACTGTGATTTCTTCATCGGTTGGTGTGCGATCTCGACATAATCCATTTTCTGAGTACACACAGTTTCCTTTTGGAAAGCTGTTGCACCGGGCAACTGCTTGACCAGTAGCCTTTTTCTTCCTCAACAGCTCATAGGTAAATATGCTATACGAAGGTCGCATAGTGGCCACCTGTGAATTGCAAGCAGTACCTGAAGATGGAGAATCTGTAGTATCTGAACATAAATCTTGACCTTCAGGCAAGAAATGACTGTTTTCAGTATCTGTGTGAGCTTTCCAAATATTTCCTGACTGACACACGCTGTCTGCTGGATTTTCATCCATTTTTTTGCCTGGTATGGGCTTACTTGGTGGGTGAGGTGCCATGATTTTGCCCTGAGTTTTCATAACCTTTGTGGCTTCGCTAGCAGACTGTGGTCGGATAATGGTGCCCTTTCGGTTTTTAGTTGTGAAAGTTGATGTGGCTTTGGCAGATTTTGGTCTTTTGATCAATTTCGTTCTACTTTTACATGGATTGCTTTTGGGATTTTTTAGTTCACAATTATATATTAGGGGTATTTCTTCACCTCTTGGCGCCATCCATGCTTGTCTAGCAACATGATATCCTTTAGATACAAAAGCATTCTGCATCCCATTATCTGAGTCTTTAACAGTAGCAATTTTTGCAGATGCCTGAGAATTCTCCTGGAGATATTCTGGAAAAACAGAATTGAGAGTGCAAGCGGGAATGCTTCTAACATTAGTTCTAGAAGTGGCAGCTCTAATTTGAGAACCAGGTGATCTGGGCTGTGCATGAGGTATTTCAATGATATTTTGTTCTGAATGCTTTTCATCACCCACTGCTCTGTTAATTTCATCAAACCACCTAAGTTTTTTACAGTTCTTTTGCTCTGCATCTTTCCCTTTCATTTTTGCCAATTCAACACTGTCTCTAGGAATCACAGGCTGAGTCCCAAATCTGACCCCCCTGTTGACAACCACTGCCTTGAAATTGCTAAGTTCATACTTAGATTCTTTTTTCAATATGCTTTTTGGAAATTTCACTACTTTTTCTTCATTGGAGTTGTTCCCTTGTTGGTCAAGATCAGATAAATTAGCAGTGGAATCTTCATGAGACATAGATAAACTATTTTTAGTCATTTCATTATCTCCATTAGCATTCTGTTGATTTATACAGCCTTTACACATCTCTTCAAACAAAGATGCTACAACCTTTTCATGTTTAGCATTTGCCACACAGTCTATATCTTCAGTACATCTTGCTGAATGATCATTTCCCTTCTCCATGCAATTAACTGAGAAGCTGTTATTGTAAGGGGCAGTAGGAAAGACCGCAGGGGTTGCTGTTTGTTGACAGGAGACATGTGCTGATGAGGTTCTGTTCTGGGGAAGCTGAGAATTTCTCTCTTGTAGTGAAACAACTGAAGGATCAGGGACAGCCCAAGCTTTGTTTATTTCGTGTACCGGGCTGTCAGTAGCTACAGGACCCTCTGTGCCTGAAGACAGACGTTTTGACAGAAAACTTTTCTCTTCTCTTTCATTTTGTGCAAAGGTTAGATTCTCATCAGAAGCATCTCTTGCAGTCTCTCTTTGTTCAGAACTACTTTGAACAAATGATTTCTGATCAGGACTGCATGTGTCCTCGTCAGAAGGTATGACATTGTATTTTATTAAAATATCACGAAAGGGGGAGGTTGTCTGGAAATTTGAGGTATTTAAATTTGTAAGCCAATTATTTACATGCTGATTTTTAGAAAAAGTCATGTCAGTTTCATCAGAGAAACTTTTATTTCTAGTCTGTAATTCCTCTGAATTGTGTACTGAGGAATCCAACTGTGCAGATAAAGAAGATGTTTCGCTGGGTGTTGTGCAACCTTCATTTGGATCTGCAGCCTCAAGACTGTCCACACTGCAAACACTTTCTGTATGGGCTATTTCATTCACTTCTTGATGAAAATCCTAAGACAGAAAAGCAAACAGCTTATAAATATCACTAAGACACATCTTCCTGGTAAAGTTTAAGAGAAAATTAGGGAAATCAGGGAGGTCCTTATGTTTTTGTGTGTGAAAAGTAGTAAGATTTTCAGGTTTGAATTTCAAATAAACATTGATATGTCCTTGTGGACACTCTACCAAATCAAAAAGGAAAAAGTTGGGAATAATTTGATAGAAAACTGTAGAATTTTTCAAGGATAAATTTCAAAGATCTTTTTTCAAGTCATCTCTGCAAGTAAGAATATCATTATGCACACAGGATGAAGTGTTCTAAAAATGTCACAAACAGCCAGTATTCTTAATTGGACCTCTTAATTGGTCACTGATTTTCAGTGCTAGAAAAATATTGCAAGTTCTCATACACCGCACATTTTGGGTGCCACTTCTGCACAGGGATGAACTCATTTCAGTTGTATATCGAATTTATAGGCAGCCACATGCCAGAGATTTTTCTAGCTCTAATTTCAGTCTATTTAGCTGAATGTTTTTTCAAATGTCTGGTGCTGCAAGTTTAGACAGAAATTACCTATGAAAGCCCCTGGGATACACAACCTGGCAGGAATAAAATTAGTTAAGCACCAGTGCTAATGTGTGCTTGTTAAAAGCTCACTTGTTTTTCCAGGCTTTTGCTAGCCATTAATACCATCTTGTTGTATTTGCCCTGGTTTCTGTATGCTGCTGCATTTGCTGCTTTAAGGTATTTTAAAGGTATTTTAAAATTTGTTGTGAACCACTTTGAGAAATGAAGGGAGGTATAGAAATGTGTTAATTTTTTTTATCAGATAGTTGGAAACCACAATAGCATCCAAACTAATGATGATTTTGCTTCATTGTTTTCAGCTTAAGTCTTATAAAAATAGTTTACCTTATCTCTTCCTTGCTTATAATTAAGAACCAGTGAAGCTTGTTTCTTTGGGATAAAAAATATTACTGGATATCAGCCCAGTAATTTTTATTGCAGGCCCTTGAATTTTATTTGAAAGCAGGCGCTATAACTCAAAAATCACAAAAAAGTACATATAAACCCTGTGGTGACTATATTACAGCAATATTCTGGTTTAGAAATGAATTAGGTTTAGAACTGAAATTTTGTTTGATTTTAAAGGGATATATTAATAGGAAACAATATTCATACTGACATAGTGTCCTTTTTATATGCCCTAAAAGGGGGGATTTTAGGAATCTTTGTAATCCTACCACACTTGTAAAACCGCAAAGTGAGACTTCAAATGACCACAATGTATACAGATATGGTGTACAGTCGATTGCAATGATTTTGACTGACTACAGCAGCCTATTCAACTATTGCTTTCCACTCACCCTTGCTTATTAAACGTGAGTTTCAAAGCAAAGCACCACAGTGAAACAATGTCAGTAGTTACTCTGTAGCATTTATTTGTCTGTATGTTTAAACTCTTACATATTTACAGTCAAACCTCGGCTCCCGAACGCCTCTGTTTTGGAATGTTTCAGCTCCCAAATGCCAAAAACCCAGAAGTAAATGCTCCAGTTTTCAAACGTTTTTTGGAAGTTGAACGTCCAACGCGGCTTCCACTTGAGTGCAGGAAGCTCCTGCAACCAACTGGAAGCCGCGCCTCGGTCGTCAGACATTTCGGAAGCCAAACGGGCTTTCTGAATGGATTATGTTCGACGATTGAGGTTTGACTGTATAAGCAACTCCCCTTTCTGCTAATTATCTTCAACAGTTGGGAAATTGTATCTGCTTTGCCAGAAAACCCCCAGCGGCCCCTAGTGGCAATTTAACGATGCAAAAGAAAAATAGGTTGTTTATAGTATTGCTTTGCAATTCAAGCAGCAGACCAAACTGAATACAGTTGCTTGAAAGAAACCTAAACATAAGCAGTGAATAGATTTTGATGCTCTTTGACTGATAGAGCAACTGCAACAGCAACTTCAACTGAGGATACTGCAACACACCTGGCTCAGCAGTGATGTGCACCTTCACAGGGGTGACATGCCTAGGATAAGGAAGACTCTTTTAACACCTTAATGTCTTTTCATGTAAAGTTCTACTTGTGTGGGGGGTTATCATGCTGTTTTACCTTTCAAGGTGATAGAAGTCCTGGGCTTCTAGATCCTTAAACTGGCACTGAACCAGGTGCAATGGGTCTAAAAAGTTGCTACGTTAGGTACTCCTATTTAGATGGTTTATGAATTGCACCTTTAAGAGGATGTAAATAACTGCCAGGACATCATACCTGAAGGTTGCTGAAATGTTGTTCTTGTAGTTGCTGCTGCATTTCATTCAGATTTTGTTGGAAGAGAAGCTGAGAATTGTCCTGGTTTGAACCACTGTTTTCCTGCATTATCCTATCACAGCCAGCTTTCACTGAGCTCTGTTTCCAGGAAAAGGGATCATTTCTAGTAGCTGAGGAAGTTGTGTCAGCAGCTCTTGCAGAGAAGAAACATTATAGTCACTTCCAGCTACATTTTTACTACTTTCACAAAAAGTTTCACAATAAAAAATTACATCTAAAGTGAAACATTCTGCACACTAAAATTAATTTAGTAGCTACAAGGTACTATAGAAGGTACTTGTGAAAAACATATTTCAGTAAAAATTTGCCCCAAACTAGGAATGAACTGATTCTGCTGGTGTTGCATTTAGCTGCATTCTATATACTCCATTAAGTTCTTACTTTGCTTTCTGGGGGCAATATGTGTCCTCTTCATAGAAAGCAAGTTTTCTGCCCCTTCCTGCAGCTACCTGCACCTCTGAAAAGCTTCTTAGGAGAGTTGTGGGGACCTTGGACAACATGGGATTTGATGTGGCAGTTGCTGAATGAAGGAAGGCTCACCCAAAATTGGGCCTGGATTCTAATACGTTAATTTACAGATATTAATGGAAGGGAAATTTCCCATGACCTCCCCTCACCCAACACTGTTCACTAGGGAATGAGGAAAAGCATATTTTATATGATCTTGCATTTAGCTTCCGCCCACAAGTACTGCAGCAAGTTTATGATTGAATTAAACAAATAAAATATCTACCTTCCAATGACTTTGGATGGTGACAAATGTAATCCTGTTACTTGAATTTTCTTAAAAGCCTCATCTAATTTAGGTTCTGGTTTTCTCTGCACTAGGAATTAAAAAGAAGGACAGCATTTAGAAATATTGAATAAAATGTCAAGCTTTTAAACACAAAAACTCAGGAATAGTTCCCCACCCCTAGAAAGCTCCTACAATTCTAAAACTGTGTCCACATCAGCCCTCTACTACTACAGACCTTAACTACTTCTTCTGCCTTGTTGTTCCCATACAGCATGGCTTTGCAAACTCTGCACACTCTTGACTTATTTAAATGCACCAACAATTACTGCAATTCCTAAACTGTTTTTTTTTTTTAATTTTTGAGGCATCCGATAATGATAGTGTATTTACAACTAAGGCTAAATTTACAAATGATACTGGACCCTAAATTAAGCATATGTGATTGCAACAATGAGTATTCAATATAATGGACAAAAAAAGAGCACAATCCACGATAGCCTTCTTGTGCTATTTATTTCAGTCCAGTTCATTTTAATGGGGTCCATATAAAAAAACTTCCTGGTAGATTGTGCCAGTAGATGTTTTTTGGTAGGTGGAAATAGAAAGCCCTGATAAAGATAGGACAGGAGGGCAGTGACTATAAGAAATGTCTGGTCAAAATTATTATTTTCCAGATTGCTTGCTATCTTTCTGCCATAAATGGCATTAAAGGTGGCTTAACAATTCATAAAAATATTAGTAATGAAATAAAAAGCAGAATATATATATATGAAAGTACACCCTTGTTTTGAAAAGTAATATAAATAAAATGCAGCAGTTAAATAATTTCTGCACCCAACAGGCCATGCAAAGGAGAAAATCTCTGGCTCCTAGTTCATTTCTGCACTCAAAGCAGACATTCTGCCACAGAGCTATGGCCTGGTATTGATTGATATTTATATCAATAATATTATTCATGGGTGGCTTCCTTCAATTCAATAATTAATTAATTATGATGAAACAGGCACACACAATGAAATTAATTTGTTAACCATCAAAAGTTACCAATGCTGTTTTTTTGTCTTTCATTTGATCAGTGGATAGGAAACATCCACTGAGAATCGGAGGTGATGCACTCATGACTTCCTGAGTGGAGAAGAATATTTAAGTGAAATACCATATCACATAGTTTCAACCTTGGAAAGTTGACTGAGACATCAGACTGTCTGTGCTTACAACTGTTAGATGCCCCTGAGAGAGTACTTTATAATTCATGAGAATTATAAAGACTGGAGCAAAACCAAACGTGTGTTTGTGAATTGTTCACAACAGTTATGCTGTGTCATCAAAACCAAGTTTGAAATAGGGATCCTGTATTTAAATACTAAAAACCCCCTGAAATATACAAAATTACTGTATTACATCTCATAGGACTGCCCAGTAATGAAGTATGAAGTTTGTTCACGTATGAAACCAACTTCAATGATACATAAAGTAATTTGAAATTAATGAGTTTAAACAGTTTGCAATCCTGGTCACTAACAGTAAAGGCTCAGCATCATTCTACACACACCCCTACCTAAGGACACCCAGGTTTCCAAGGCAAAGAATCACATACAAAAATGCAGAAAAACTGAAATGAAATCGATTGCAGGCTGAATCATGGAATCAAAGTCAGCATTATGTAATACATGTGCCAGTGGTTATATTATCACAAGATTCAAAGTCTTCCACATTGCACAGTCTCTTCACCCCTAAAATTACTGCTCTTTGCTGCAGTTAACATTGAAGAGGCACTGCACCCTCCCAAAATTAAAGCTCAATCAAAATTGTCAGTTTTGACACAGCTAATCTTAGGCTAGAGAGCCAAACTTGCATCACAGATGCAGTGCTCCCAAAGCACAGCAGCCTTTTACACTGTCAGTAGTGTAGATCTGCCTTTGGAAACCTATTTCTGTGCTCACAACTGTGTTACTAGATCAGGGATTGCCAGCTGTTTTGCATCCAATGATCTATGGGAAAACCCCACCAGAAAGCAGAGGCTGTGGCCAGAGCTAAAAATGGCCAGAGCACTTCTTACTTCTTTCTGCCACCTTTCCCCTGAAAGCTCAACAACTTTCCTAAAAAAACCAAACTCAACAACTTTGGTCTGCCCCAGGTGGGGGTTGCTACACTGCTGGAGCAGAGACCAAGACCTGGTTAGGCAAGTGCATAATGGTAGGCAGAAGGAGCTGATAAGATGCAGCTGCTTTGTTTTCCTGGCTACCCAACACCACGCATTGCTGGTGGGCACAGTATGAAAAGCATTGCATCGGCTTCACCAAGAGCATACATGGGATTAAACAGAAGTAGCAGTAAGGAGGCCACTACTCAAAACCCCAACAATCCAAGGGTCAGTCAGCACACTAAAACAGTATTATGAAAATTATACACTTCCTCCTGTTTATATATATTTCTCATTGTCTAGCACATATTGTTCCTGATCTTTTTGGCTATTCAGATGGCTAAGTTAAGCTTACAATAACGCATTCTGCAGGATCAACATAATTGTGGGCATGGTGGGGTTTTTTTGATAACATTATTTCACTTTTTAAACTATTTTTTAAAAGGAAAAGATAATTTGTTCATTTAATATACACTTATGGAATGGCCCCTAGGTATTGCAATATTTGTTTTTTTGACAGATACTAATCTGGAATGAAAACTATTTCTAACACGCATTATAATGCAAGAATTATAGCTATAGCTGCATTTGCAATATGCAAACCTTCTACTTTCTTCCGTTGTGAAAGTGGAATATGACCACGCTGGAACCTTTCAGTTGCTTCCTGATGTTTCAGTTTCCTCTGCAGCAAAATTTGTTCTCTGAATTTTTGTTCTTTTTCTTCAACGTCCTTCCATTTTTCTTCAAGTGCTCTGTGTAAAAACAACTACTGCTTTCAATAAAAATAATCACCATGGTAAGTGGTTCGCACCATTTTGCTTAAATCCTTCTGAATACATCAGTGATTCATATTAAGAAGCATGTTTCAAACTCTGTCATGTCCTGACCTCTCTCCTGGCATGTGCCAGGAAGAGTGTGGATTGGCTCCACTTGCATGTTTGAATGCACAGACCTTGCCTCCCCATCTCTGTCTCCACACACACACTCTTAAATACCCATTCCCTGACATGACAATCACTGATTTCCCTCTTGGTATCTGCAAGCTCACCTTTGAGCACTGGGAAATGAAGTAATAAGCTACCACGGAATAACTAGATCTGATTGCTAGCATATGTGGCACCCCCAGGATAAAGAACAAATAATCTTTCAGATTTTTAGCAGAAAAGTCTGTATTAATGAGTGAAAAGCTGCATTCAAAACGTATAAAGATTTACGGTTATAATAAAAAGTACTCTTAGAAAGATTTATTCAATTTCTTGGCACATCAAGCAAGGGATAACATATATACTTTAAAGTGTATATTCTGTTCCTTCGGGGCTTTGTGAATCCAGGGGAGATTTACTTCTTTGTTTGGCATAGAAGCTTGATTTCTAACAGTGAAAGAATATAATACCTGAAAACTATAAATTATTCTATGTACAAATAATCCCAACAAAGTGGAGACGAGTTTTCCATCAACCTCCTATCAGGTAGAATGTGCCTCCCTATTCTTCAGCTTCTTGGTGACTGTTTGGACATAGGGTCTGTGTTGAGGATAAGCTACAACTTTTTTCATTAAATCAAGTGCTCCCAGGGTGGGATTCATTACTGTTTTTGGGGGTGTTATTGTTCTCGTGTATTTATCATTTTAATTTATTGTTGTTAGCCACCTTTAGCTCCCTTGAGGAAAGGCAGGATATAACTATTTTAATTAATAAAAATAAGTCCACTGCATTGCCCCTATTCTTTAACTCCCTCTCTAAATCTGTGATTTATTGCAAGTTCCTGCTTGTTGAAATCTGTACCAAGTGCCTCTTGTACTAAGAAGAGTATCATGTCAGAAAGTAATACTAGCAGCAGTTCATAACACAGACACTGACTCAAGGAATCTATTGTTACATGAATGTATACTATTTCACATTGTGCAAACTAATGAACTCTGAACATTTCTTGACTGCAGCAGGGCAAAGGAGGAGTGTAACAAGAAGTAAACAAGATACTCAATCTTCCAGGTATGATTTAGTTTAGCACTTATCTCAGAAGGCCACCACTTTAAGTGTTAGGCATGATTACAGTACCTTTATTCTAGCCACACTGCCTATCCTGAAAGAAATTTATATTTAATTTAAACTTTAAGCCATGGTTTCCTACTTCTTAGATTTTCATGGCCACACTGGAAACGCATAGTTAGATTAGGACCTCAGTTAATCTGCAGCATTTTATAAATTATAAGTTTAAAGAGTATCATTTGAACATTACCGTATTTTATTCATTTGCTTCATTTTTATTCTACTCTAGCAAACCAAATGATCCCAGGGCAGGGTATTGCAATTATAAAACAAGTAGCAAATAAAACAAATAGCAATAAAACATTCAAATGATATAAAATCCATAAATGTTACAACTACTACTTTTCCTCCATGTATCTGTGGCCTAACATATCCTACCTCATTAAAAGCCTGGCTAAAGAGGTAGTTTTTACTTTTCAACAAAATTCAATCAATATAGGCACCAGTCAAATTTTAAGTGAAAGAGCATTCCACAGCCAGGGAGCCACCATCAAATAGGCCTTTTCCTAAGTCACAGAGGCATGAATCACACACAGCAATGAAACAAGCAGCAGGGCTTCTTCAGCTGATCGTAAGGCCTGGGTAGGGGGATACAGAGGGAGGCACTGTGGTAACTGGATCCTTCCTACTTCATTCAAGTCAACATTAAACACTTGAAATTAACTTAACAGCACACAGGCAGGCAATGTAGACTCTTCGGAACTGGGTGCTCTGCTGGCAAATCTGTCATTGCTCTTTCCGTAGGTTATCAGAGCGTGATCACTGTAGCCACACTATCCCTGTCCAGGAATGACCATAGCTGGTATCAGAGCTCCAAGCCACTTGGGCTTCCAGTGACAGAGATTAATTTTACAGCAACTCCAGAATGTGCACCTGTTTCCTCAGAACAAATGTAACCCCAGCCAGAATAGGCCATCTATTCAATTACTGGACATTAAAGGTAAAGGTAAAGGACCCTTACAGTTAAGTCCAGTTGCGAACGACTCTGGGGTTGAGGCACTCATCTTGCTTTACTGGCCAAGGGAGCTGACGTTTGTCTGCAGACAGTTTAAATGGTGTAAATACTGACCTCTGACTTGTTATGATTCACTTTCAGTTTATGGGCCCTTATCAAGCCCATTACTGCCTCCAGTCATTGATCTAACACCAGCAGAACCTCTCCAGATTAAGATGGTAGGAAGAGACACTAGGTGAGTATCCTTAGCATACTTATGTATGCTCCATATCGCCTGATGAGCTCACTCAGCAGCATTACGTATATGTTAAACAAGATGGGGGACAGAACAGAGCCCTGCAGGCTCCCACAACCTAATTGCCATCAGGCTAAGATGAAGCCTCCCCTTTGCCTCTACCTGGAAGCAGTCTTTCAGCCAGAAGCAGAATCAAGAATTTCACAGTGTCTCTTATGTCAGCCCACCAGAGCCAATGAAGGAGGAAACTGTGGTCCAACTATCAAAACCTGCTGATTCAGTAGGACTAACAAGACTATGCTCCATCTGTATATCTTCTGACACAGCTGATCAATGAAAAGAACCAACCAATGCCCCAAATGGACCTGAAGCCTGATTGAAATGGGTCTAAATAGTATGTCTCCCCAAATACACCTGAAGCCCATCTGCCATGACCCTCTCAAGTACCTTGCTCCAAGCAGGTAGCTGTCACAAAAGGGTTTCTTGAGGGGCTGTACCAACTGCCCTTTCAAAATAACTTGAACCACTCTGTCCCACAAACAATTATTTACCACTACAACTAAAATATCAAGCATGCCTTACATTTACATACCTCCTCCTTTTATTTGTTTCTAGAAAATGTTTTCGTGCTCGATTACGAAACAGTCTTTGATCCTTTAGCAACTCGTGACGCTCTTTTGATAAGTCTCTTTCAAGGAGAATCTTTAGATTTCTGATCATGACGTTAAAGATAACAGAAATTGTAGCGAAAACCCTAGACACCCAGCCCACATTGAATTTCTTGAAGGTGCTTTTTTTTCCATTTCAGTGCTCCCCCCCCCCCGGGGTGCTCAAGGGTACACAGTACCGTCATCTCTTCTTCTTCTTCTTGTTAAAAAGTGTGGTACTTACTGTAACAACTTAATGGTGTTGAGTACTGGCATCTATTTTTCTGGAAAAAAGCACCGATGATGATTATGATAACAACAACAACAACAAAATCAACTTCTGTTTTTGTTATAATAATTATAATAATAAACCAACTTGTTTTTTAATTTTATTATTTATTGCCTTTATATACCACCCTGTACCTGGAGATGGCTATTATTATTGTTGTTGTTGTTGTTATGGCATTTCAGTGAAGTTTCAGCGAGCCTATTGAGAAGACCCCTGAGAGGCAACGGTACCAAAATGAATTATTGTGAAAATAAGAACAATTTAGGGGGCCGGCTCGCCAAATTTTGTCCTCCCTGGCCTGAGCGCCACACCTGTTCCCTCAACAATCGCCTCTTTCCCGCCCTCTCGCCTCCTGCCCCACAGGAGCCCCGGCCTCTCCATCCCTGAGAGGAGGATACGTGGAGGGGCCCAAGGCGCTCAGGGCCCGGCGGCCGAGGCCCCGCGGCAGGGCGCTTTCCGAGACGCCCCTCCTCGCGCCGGGGGCAGCGGGCTCGGCGGCGCCTTCGGCCTCCCACACCGAGGCGGCCTGGCTCCCGCCCGCTGCCGCCGGCGCCCGCCCGTAGCTGGAGTAGTAGTAGAAGCTGCCGTTGCCGCCGATCACGTTGCCGTTGGCGCCTCCGCCAGGCTCCATCCACGCGCCCCCGAACCTTCAGCCGCCCTCCGCCGCCGCCATCTTCACACCCAGCGGCTCTCTGGCTTCTCTCTCCGTCTCTCGCCCTCGCTCTCCGCCCTTCGTCTCGCTCGCGGGATCCCCGTCAGCGCCCAGCGGGGGGGCTCCAGCGAGCCCTCCCCGCCGCCTCAGAAGCGCCCGCCGAAGCCCCTCGCCCGGCTCCAGGGCGCCGCCGCCCAGCCGCCATCTTAGCAACCGGCGACGCCGCTTCCTTCGCAACGGAAACCAAGGGAGACGGAGGAGGAGAAGGGGCGGAGCGCCATGCGCAGGGCGGGCCGGCTCCGAGACAAGGGCCGCCTCGAGGCGGAGACTCTGAGGGGGAGAGGCCTTTTCGGGCTGGCCGTTAGGCTCTTCCACGCCGTCGAACATGTGTACATGTATATAATATGTGTACATGTATATATACCGCTGGCCGTTTAGTCTCTTACCCGCCCTCGAAATATATATATATATATATATATATATATATCGAATATTTTATCATTTTTGCGGGGGGGGGGATGTTGTGGGTTTGTTTTGTTTTTGCCCATATATATAGGCAAAAAATGCACACACACACACACACACACACACACACACATATATACTGCATATACATATGTATATGTGTTTGTGTATATTCACACATACATACATATGTATATATAAGCCTAACCAGTGCTTTTTTGTCTTTAAAAAAGTTGTTTAGGGGCACTCTCATTTTGACTCAAGAAAATCACCATTTTATAGTTCAAATCAGGAAAAACAAATACAGTAAATGGACAAAAGTACAAAGATTCACAAAATGTTTAGGGGTATAAGTACCCCGGCGTCCCCCCAGAGAAGAAAAAAGCAATGAGCCTAACCACCTCACGCGAGGTTAGGCTGATATATAGGGTTGCTGTGGGGATTAAAAGAACAGGGAGAGAAACCTGGTGTGCCACCTTGCGCTCCTTAGAGAAGGGCGGGATCTATAAATGTAATCAATCAGCTGTGGAAATCAGGTAAGGCTTGACTGGCCCCTACCCTTCTTTTGTGTGTGTGTGTGTGTGTGTGTGTGTGTAAAAATAAATAAATACATATCCATATATCATTGTCACATAGGCATGGGCGTAACCACGATTTATGTTGGGGAGGGGCAGGCTTCATGTTAGGGGGGCAGAACGTCAGTTAGTTAAGTATTTGTCTTGATTTTTTTTGGCTATGCCACCACGTTTTTATATTTATAGTACTATTTATACTATATATTTATAGTCCTTCTAGTACTCCAGGGCAGCTTACCTGTGCGTTGGACTAGATGACCCTCAGGGGTCCCTTGCAACTCTACAATTCTGTGATTCTAAGTGAAAACCTGCAAGATACAGTAATACGTATTCCAGAAATACAATATTATCAAAAGGAGTGGGGTGTGTGTGTTAATATAGTAATAGTCTCCAACTCAGAAAGGCAAAAACCTGCCTAAACAAAAAGGGGCAGTTGTTTGCTGAGATTCTTGCCCTGGAGGGAGTTGGGCTTCCGGTCCCTTCAATTCTATTATTCTCCCTGCTCATTTAATCCCAACAGCAACCCTGTTAGGTGGTTAGGCTGGGAGGCAGTGACTGGACCAAGGTTCACCCAGTGAGCTCCATGGAGGAGTGGGGATTTGAACCCTGGTCTCTCCCAGGTCTTAGTTTAAGACTAACCACTATGACACACTGGCTATCAGGTGTGACTGTGGGTGGGCAAGATGTCCCCACCCTCATTGAGCCTCTGATATACAGACGTGCAGCCTTCATCAGCCTGGAGCCCTCCAGAAGTTTTGGACTACAACTCCCATCAGCCCCTGCCAGCATGAGCGCTGGTCCTGGCTGATGGGCGCTGCAGTCCCAAGACATCTGGAGCGCGTCAAGTTGATGAAGGCTGCCCTGAGGTACCATGGACCTAAGCCATTTCTTATTGAGGTCAGTGGTGTTTTTTGTTCCTGTGAGTTAGTGCAAGCTGATCTGTATATTATTTCCAGATGGTCAGAGTCTGAAATCAGTAGTTAGGATTTTGTGCTGTTTTCTCCCCAAGAACAGGGATTGGTAGCTGGCATCCTGTGGGCTGAATTTTCCCTGGCAGCCTTCTCTTTCTCTCTACACTTCTTGAAACAGCATGGAGAAAGGGAAAGAGGAAGACCTGAGCATGTGCGAGGATGGAACTAGAGAAGGTAGAGGGGAGGAAGATCCGTCGCATTTCAGATAGTGTGAAGAAGAGATGAAGAGAGGAATTGTGGAGGGGGAGGGTGGGTTTTCTGGCAAGCCATTTTGGGGATGGGGGGTCTCCAGAAACCCCTTCAATGTGGTCTGCTCCAGGTGGCTAGATGCTATGGCCTGGGCAAAGATCTGATGACACTGGCAAGCCATATAAAAAAGGAGCCCTGCACTTCGTCCTGCAGAACATTGGCACTGATCCAACCCTCCCAGAACAGTTATTTTCAGATCTTAATTAGCAACTGCTTTATGTCAGCAATATTTGCTTTTAGGATCAAATGATTTTATGCTTTACAATTGCTTGGGGGATTAAAGCTGACATGGGTTACATAAAATTTTGTGTAAGTTTTCTGAAGTCCGGGCATAAAAGGGTTGGCTTTCTGGCTAATGTTTATGCTGTACACATTCCTGAATTCTTAACTCAAGACTTCATCAGTTAGTGGACAGTCTTTTCCAAGGCAGTTTGAAATTCTTCAAAAGCTTTTCCTTTCTTCAACTCAGAGATGATCCATCTCAGTGCATCCTCACTGATCTTCCTAAATATCATATTTTTCATTGGGGCTGATACTGTGTTTGGTAATGCCAAGCCATGTTCTGCAATGGTAAGGTTTGCAATGTATTGCCTTGATAAGATTAAGGAAATCCTGCTTTCAACATGTTTTTGCTTCTGAGGGCTATTGTGTGTCTATAGAGTGCAGTTGTATTTCTACTGAAAAGACCCTGCTGAAACTATATTAATGCAACTAACATAGTAAATGCAGTTGCTTGCCTAGTTGAAAAGATAGACTGAAGTCCCCACTAAAGTTAGTGAGAGTTTTTTCATTAACATCTGTGAAGGCATGGCTTTTTATCAGGTCATTAATAAAAGTTGAACTTGGAGGCATACCTCTTCACAAATAGTAAATGGCCTTTGCAATTTTTGGATCGTCTTCTAAACACACATACTCTACTGTAAATACAAAATAACATCATTTGTTTTTATTTTACTTGTGTCATGGGGCATTCTGATCCTTTATTGCAATACATCTAGAGGTTCTCAATGGGTTTGTGTAGAAAGTTTTGAAAAACATTTTTAAGGGAGGATTACATTTCAGTGTTATAATGTTTCTGGCCGTGTGTGTGTGTGTGTGTGTGTATGTATGTATGTAAAACCCTAAAGCTCTAGGTTACTTAACCAACATCTGGTTATGTTATTGCTATTCTGTCGAGGGTCAGTTTGTAATTGATGCTAAAATCATATACCCACTTACCAGGGAGTAAGCCCCATTTCACTTAATGTGAGTTACTTCTGCGTATACATGTATAATAAGATTGCATGTAAGGCAATTTCTTGAGCTTCATTCTCACCTCAGTTCTCTAATTACTTAACACTGTTTAAAATCTGCATACGTAGTTGGCTGCTTACAGTTCTTTGCCCTTAGTAATTGCTTTATTCTTATGATGTTGCTCCTGCCAGAAGGGGAAGATACTGTGGGAAAGAGCTGTAGCTCAGTTTGTTCATACCTTGTATACAAAAGGTCTCAAAAGGTCCCTGTCACCTCTAAGTAGCACTGAGGGAAAAAAACAAGCCTGAAATTCTGGAGAGCTGCTGTTAGTCACTGTGTAGACCATGTGTAGGCAAACTAAGGCCTGGGGGCCGGATCTGGCCCAATCACCTTCTAAATCCAGCCCACTGACGGTCTGGGAATCAGCCTGTTTTTACATGAGTAGAATGTGTGCTTTTATTTAAAATGCATTTCTGGGTTATTTGTGGGGCATAGGAATTCGCTCTCCCCCCCCCCTTCCGAAATATAGTCTGGCTCCCCACAAGGTCTGAGGGACAGTGGACCGGCCAACCTGCTGAAAAAGTTTGCTGACCCCTGGTGTAGACAATACTAAGCTATGTAGAACAATGGGCTAACTCAGTATAAGGCAACTTTATAGGTTTTACTCCCTAGAGTGTTTAGGATTGTGGCCTTAAAGCAATAAATAAGTATATTTTGTTGGGGCTGCAGGAGAGCTGCAAAGGATACAGTCTAATCAAAACTAGGAGCTGTGCTAACAGAATATTTCTTTATATGGGGAAGGAGAGGAATTTGAAGGAAATATTTGGAAAGCGAATGGCATTTTCTTCATTGCTTCAGGAAGTTCAACAGTTCAATATTTCCATTTTTAAAACCTCTCTCTTAACTTCTCATTTTTATGCTAAAATGGGAGCATTAAAACATCAGCATTTAATTTGTAAACTGGAAGGTACTGGCCATACAGCCCTGTGACTGAAAAGTCACACCCTGTGCTTTTAAGCTCTGTACCCTTAATTCAACATCTGAGGGTTGGTTGTGGTTTTTCTCATCATTCAGTGAGGAGGAAAAAGCCCCTTTTTTTACTTTGTCAAGGGGCACTGTATTACGCCTTGTGCTCTGTGGCTGGGTTACATATTCCTGGAAATCACTTGGGTCAAACTGGGTAATACCCAATTATATAACTGCTGCAGAGATTTGCTGGCTCTTTTCTAAGCTGATCACATATTAAATAAGCATAAATGTGACAGTATATATCACCCTGAATTTGGTTTGGTAACACTGGCAGCCAGTGCAGCTTTTTGGCGCCATGTGCTCCTCTACGCTGCCCCACTTAACAGCCTAGATTTCACATCTTCTGAACCATCTTATTCTGAGATGAAAATGTTTGCCATCTTTTTAAATTCTTGATAATCAAGAGCCTGTTTTATCTACATTCGGTACAGATCTTTCCCCCCTTCTGTTTGGTATTCCAGGGTACTTTTGCCACAACCACTGTGGAAGAGGCAGCCAGTCCAGGAACAAAAAATAAATCTTCAGAAAATCCACAGGAGAAGAAAAAATGCCATGGGCCCTGTGATTTTCAAGCTAAAGTGTTAAGAGAAGAAAAACATTACATGTGTAGTATGTACTTTTGTATTTTAGAAACTCTTTCCTTTCATTCACTGTTGCAAGCTAACTTGGGATATTGCTAAAATGAAACGATATTGAACTTATTTGTATTTCGCTCACAGTATGTTAAGTTTATTTATTAAAAATAAATATACTACTTACCTATTTTCACTATATTAAGAAATTTACATAAATGCAATTAAAATGCAACAACACTCAGCAAAGCTTCCTAAAAAGTAGATAAAAATAAGATAAAAATACATCATAAGTGTAAATCACAATTAAAACTGAGCAGAGTTCAAAACTAAAAATTTAAAACTAAGGGAAACTGTGAACATACACATTTTAAAGCATTGGTTAAAGATCATTACTATCTCCACCTCATGAGTAACCTGAGGGAAAGCATTTCAGAGGGGGGTGCTGCACTGAGAATGCCTACTTCCATGTTGTTGCTAAGTGGCAATCCACTGGTTATGGATCTTTGAACATTCTTAACCAGGCATAGGCAAACTCGGCCCTCCAGATGTTTTGGGACTACAACTCCCACCATCCCTAGCTAACAGGACCAGTGGTCAGGGATGATGGGAGTTATAGTCCCAAAACATCTGGAGGGCCGAGTTTGCCAATGCCTGTTCTTAACGAACGCCTTGGTCCATACTGGGACTGCTAGGTATCCTGATCCCAGGTTGTTTAGGATTTAAATATCAGTAGCAAAACCCAGAACTTGATTTGGTTGTCGATAGGCAGCTAGTGCAGCTCATTCACTCAACACAGGTGTAATATATCTAAAGCTCTGTGGGGTTGGATGAGCACAGGGTGAAACAGTTCTAAACCTAGTAGGCTGAACATTTCCACATTCGTAATATAAATACTTCATTTCCTGCTGCAACTGGTTTGTTTCAGGAATTTTCTGCATCTACAAATGCAGACATTGATGTTAAGTGGTATGAACATGCAAAACTTGCCTTATTCCGGTTGTTGATCCACCCAGCTCAGTCTTGTCTGCTCTGACTGGCATTAGTTATTCAGGTTATCCTGACAGATGTCTTTCTTAGCCTGCTTATTGCAATCCTTTGAACTGGAGATACGAGGGACTGAGGTATCATCATCTTGATGTGCCACCCCCAGCACCTTAAGACACTAAGCAATTTGATTCAAACCCACAAATCATCCAAATCCCACTTTTACAAAGAAGCCGATTTAGGGCCTAACTGTGTGTGACGCTAACGAAGTGCTGAGTAATCACGTTGGCTTAGAAAACAAAGAAACAAACATGGAGAAGCAGAGATTGTTTTCAACTTCACAATGTGCAAGGAGAGGTGGTTTGAGGTTTCTCTCCCCAGCTGTGATCTCAGTAAATATTCTCATACCACCGTTATCATTAGAAAGAGGAAAGTTCCCACTGATGTGAATGGGAGTTCCAACCTACTGTCAATTACTATGGCAGTGAGTTTGAGGAAGTCCACAGCTGGGGAAGGAAGGTTTAAACCTGCCCCAGCACTGCAGTGCTGATTGCTGTTTGTCCCCTGTTCCTGGCATTTAATTAAAAAGAAACCAACAACCTGATTGCTAATCACACACATAGTTACTAACGCATCACAATTGTTAGCATCACACGTAGTCAGGCTTTTCCCCTGCTTGAAATATTACCACACAACGCTAATTGCTGAAGAAAGCTCTGTTATGTATCATTGCATTATTTTAGTAACTTTTTAAATGACTGACGGTCTGTTTGCTTAAAGGGAACTTGCAGAATTCTCTAGTTGAATATGCAAGAAGTACCAAGAAGATGATACGGAACATGATGGATGATCACCAGTCTTCTCTCGATTATCTTTCCGATCAGGTATCAGTTATTATTTGCACAATGCATTTCTTTCTGTACAGGACTAATTCTACTGAATGATCTTAATTCAGCTGAACTAAATGTCAAAATCCAGTTTACAAACACAGCGAGCGCATTTCATAAAAACAGTTTGTCTTGCAACAGGAAGTATTTGGTTATTGTTTTCTGCATTGGAAAGAAACTACTGATTTCTTACAGTGCCACAAACACCATTTTGGGTAGATATGAGGGAGCCATTAAGGTCAGCAAATATATTGTTAGCTTTTTATGTAGGACCCTCCTCAGATTTATTCTGTATGAGTCAGTGAATAGGTGGGAAATGGCAGCTGTATTCTTAAAAATATGAATTATAAACCGTGTGTATGAGCTAGCCAAAGTTAAGCATTCTTCAGTCATATTGATTTTACTAGGAGATACTTAGGTTATTGTCTTCAGCTTAATTTCTAACTCCTGCTGAGCTCAGTGTTACTTCCTTCTGAGAAATTTTTCTTAGGATTGCTCTACATAAAACATGCTTAATCGACCAAAATCAATGGGGTGTGCCACCAGATGTATATTCAGTATATTCAGTATATTTACTCAGAATTAAGCCCCATTTAGTAATTTTTCTTGGGATTGTAGAAGCACCTAATTTGGGCTGAATTACATCCCATGTTAATGTTTGTTTCAAGGTTATGAATAAAAGAAAAGAAAAGAGGCAATGCTGGGCTCCCCTGAACATTAAGAATGGTTTAAGGTTTTTCTTGTGATCACACAGGTCAATGAACTGATGAGTCGGGTTATGATTTTAAACACAGAACTATCTAGAAAACCAATTGATGTATTTCCTCATCGAGCTGTTCAGTCTCACGGTAAATACTTTTTGCTTCCTGACTTTTCCCATTTCTCTTCTTGCTCCGTATCTCCTCCTGGTACGGCAGTGGTACAAATAAGAAAGATTGGGGGTGGGGGAGTGGTTTGCCATTACTAATTTTGCAAAAACAAAAGTGTTTATTGATCATTTCATTGTTGTATTCTTTTTGTAAGTTGCTTTGAGAGTTTTTTTTAATAAACGGTATATAAATTTTATGAAATAATAGCAATAATAATAATTAATCAGAAGTAATAAATTATTTTTCTTTGCCATCCATCTGATTGGATATGAAAGGGAAAGACAGAAGTCGCTCCTTGTATCAAATACATGCCAATGTGGACTACTCTAATCTAATGCAAATTGGAAAATTCAGATTAACAGCTACATTATGCTCAAATGTGGGTAAACTAATTCTTTGGAATGGTACAATAATCTATGGGTAAAAAGACATGTTGCACTGCAATCAGGTGCAACTAATGTGTGTGCATGCTTAACCTTTACCTACCAGTCACTTTGCCTAGAAGCCTGCGTTCCATGTTCTTGTTTATATTCACATGGGTCCAAAACCTTGGCAGAGAGTCAAAGCCAGGGGGAGGCAGTTCAGGGGGAAAGTGACTGTCAGAGAAAAGGTTAACTCTGTTTCCTTTTTACAAAGTTGAACCTGAACTTCCTCTGGTAATGTTGTCTGCCAGGTTTGGATTGCAGCGATATTAAAGATACCATTGGCTCTGTTACAAAAACTCCAAGCGGTCTCTACATAATCCATCCAGAAGGATCAAGTTATCCCTTTGAGGTAATACAGATTTTTCATTTTTACTGTTTGCTTAGATTGTTTCCCCCCTCTTCTTATGGCTGCATTAAAGCAGTCCCTGTCGCTTTAGCAGTAGTTTTAACACTTTCCAAGCCGCCGCCAACTGCCAATATTTTAAATCTGATATGGGGGGTCAGTTTGTTCAACTGGAAGTACTGTAACTTAGAGGAGAGGAAACATAGTCACTGAAATGTACTGACTGTAGCATGAAACATTGGAAAGCAGATGAGTACAATGCGGCTGATTCACTATTTTTCATAGGCATTTCAAGTACCCTTTCCCCAAAAAACTAAAAACTAGCAGGTGTGCTTCAACTCCCATAGTGTGGTTCAGCTCCCATAGGAAAGAATAGCAATGTTGGCACTAAGTATAATAATTTTTATAGCATGTCAGCAGTCCTCAAAGTCTTAGTCAATCCTCTTGCTTGTAATTTTTCCCAGCTAGCAAACACCCTGAGAGACTACGGCTCTTGGGAAGCATAGATGGCTGTACCATTTGTGCATCATGGTTTAGCCTGGGTGAAGGGAGAACTGCCGCTTTCCTACAGATGAAAAGCTTACCTTGTGAGACTGACAGCTCATTAGCTATGCCAGCTTGTTTTTCTTTGAGCAGTATTCCAAGGGCTCAGAGCTATCACTAGCAGTAGGTGGAAGAACAGATATAGGGGTCCCAGGAATACCTAGGAGTAACACACAACTACCCCAAGGAGCAGTCTTTGACTTCCTCTACGTTCACTAACTGACTTATACTGAATCATTTGTCCATGTAGTTTAGTCCTGAGTGACTACCCAGTTGGTATTGGTTCTGCAGGGTTTCAGACAGGAGTCTTTCCAAGTCCTTCCAGGAGATGTGCAGGATTGAACTTTTGCATGCAAAGCAGGTGTTCTGCCACAGAACTCCAGCCTTTTACTGCATGACCCTATCTCATTTGCCCACACAAATATAGGGGAAGACTAGGTCTGCTTATGGGAGCAAGAAATGCATTGTGTAAATTAGTCTCTTCGAAATTGAGGGGGCTTAATTATTTAACTATGATATAAGCTTGCTGATCTTTCACTGAATTGCAGAATAACAGTAAATGAAATACTAGTGATGCTTGTAAGAAAACGCTGATTTCATTTACAAATGCCAACAAGACAGAACACCCATTTGTCACAGCGCGAAGCTCTGTCTCTCCTTTTGTGTAGTCGACAAGAAAAATCATAAATACCAATGTGACATATTTTTTATATGACACTTTAACAGTAAAGATAAAGTGGCTGCAAAGGCTGCGTTCACATCCCCAGGATGGATAAACATGTCAGTTTCGGTTTCTCATTTTTCCATTCTTAAATTTGCTTCTCCACATTTACACATCAGTTTTTTGATCCCCCTCCCCCCAAAAAAGTTCTCATGGAAATTCACCAGCATTTTTAGTGTGGATTTCTGCTGATATGCACATTTTTATCTGCAGCTTTGCCTAATACACACATTTTTGCAAAGCAATTTCCCTTAATATGTGTTTTTGTATTTTGTTTTCACTTATATATGCATTTATATGCACATATGAATTTTTGTACAGATTACTTGGCAGGAGAACTGCATTGCAAAATTCTAAGAAGTGCAGATTTTGAAGGATAACCGTGTTTTACTTCTCATAGCGTTTTGGAAAGTGCGAATTAACAGAATTGAATTTCTCCTCAACCCCTATGGGAGAGAGAAAAAAGGGTTTAACATGGGGCTTTGCTTCTTAGCTGCACTATGATTTTGAAAACTAAGAATGCAGTCACAGCAGTGCACAGAATGCTGTTCCAGAGATCTGAACTGACCTGCCAAACAAACGCTCCCTCTTGGGATCAGTCTTGGGATTGTTGCTTTTGCCAGATCAGCCTTGTGTGACTAATAAAGACTTAAGAAAATGTGCTTTTGATTGTGCACTCCAGATCTTTAATCAGAGGACTGTGTAGCGAGAACACAAGGAATAAAAGGTGGGCAAGTGTTTACAGGCTAAAGGAGTACCTGCAGAGTTACAACTATTATTCAGAACTCACAATTAACTGAACTTTTAAAAGGTCTCTTTACAGAAACTCTAGCTAACTTCTCATTGGTATAAACCTGGCACTATAAAGGGCAGGCTGAAAAGAAAGTCCTGCCACAAGAACGGGGGTGGTCTCTTTCCCTTGGCCATTGTAGTGGCAGTGTCACAATCAGGGATGGAAGGTTCTGTCAGTTCTGGTTCTCTCTGTTTCTGTTTCTGTTTTATATTCAGTTTTGACTAATGTACATATTTTTGCAAGCAATGTATTTTAGTATGTTATTTTCAGTGATATTCTATTATTTATTGAATTTATATACCGCCCTATACCCAGAGGTCTCAGGGTGGTTCACGGAATAAAATCAAAATATAAAACCACAAAATACAAAATCAAAATAAAAACAACAACCCAATACCCCCATTTTAAAAGAGCATAGGATGCCAATCAAATGCACACTATAGTTAAAATATCCATATATATTTTTTGTTCACATTGCTAGGTTGAATTGCAAAATTCAAATAAGTGCAAATTTTGAATGATAGCTGTGTTTTGATTCACATATTATTCCAGAAAGTGCACATTTGGTAGATTTGGGTTTAAATGCACACTGAAACAAATTTCTCCTCCATCCCTAGTCACAACCAATCTAATTTTTTTGAAGCAGATACTAAGATAGTCCTCTAGGAGCTTTGGGGGGGGCAGAGTTCTTCTCTCACAACTGCATCCTAGGGCAAATTATGGTGCCCTGATGTTGGTGATGTTGCCATTGTGGGTGTCCTGGAAGCAAGCAAGGTGGGGAGAAGCGGGGAGCTCACCCCCACACCTCTTGCTTTGCCACCTAGGCTGTAGTCAGGACATATTGAGTGAGCAACAGGTTGTCAAACCAGTCTTTGTTGTTGTTGTTGTTTAGTCATTTAGTCGTGTCCGACTCTTCGTGACTCCATGGACCAGAGCACGCCAGGCACTTCTGTCCTCCACTGCCTCCCGCAGTTTGATCAAACTCATGCTGGTAGCTTCAAGAACACCATCCAACCATCTCATCCTCTGTCGTCCCCTTCTCCTTGTGCCCTCCATCTTTCCCAACATCAGGGTCTTTTCCAGGGAGTCTTCTCTTATCATGAGGTGGCCAAAGTATTGGAGCCTCAGCTTCACGATCTGTCCTTCCAGTGAGCACTCAGGGCTGATTTCCTTAAGAATGGATACGTTTGATCTTCTTGCAGTCCATGGGACTCTCAAGAGTCTCCTCTAGCACCATAATTCAGAAGCATCAATTCTACTCCCTCCCAACTTTGTAGGCGTATTGCACTCAGGAAGCAAAAGTGGACAGAGCGACAAATATAAATTTTACTTTGGTACAGTAGACTAGTTTTACACACACATATATACACACACATATCTTTATCTTCCATCCAGGGAAGCAAGAGGCAGTATTGGACTACAAGGACACATTACAGCCAGGAAAAACATTCAAGGAGGGTGTGAACAGAGATGATAAAGGGCATGGCCTGAGAAGAGCGGGTGTGGGTAAGGAGAGGGTTTAGTCTAAGAGGAGTCCCACATCTGGCCCCCAGGCTTGGTTCCTCACCCCCAATTCAGTCTAACATTGTGGCCTGAAAAGAAAATGCATAACATTGACAGTATCATTCCCATGGTGTTTTGTTTTTTTAAATCCTTACTCCAATTTTGTGCTTACTCCAATTTTGTGCTTGCAGGAGTTAAATATATAAATCATGAAATAGCTTAGCATGCACTGGAGGATACTTTTGAAATAACTAAGATAATTAACTTCCATATTTCCTTTTTTTAAAAAATAAAAACCTTTCCAGTGTTTAGGAATGACTGCCAATGTCTACAGAAGTTGAAGTCATCAAATAAGTAAAAATGTTTGCTTATGACACTGGCCAGAGATCAAGAACTAATGGAAAAACATGGTTATAGGATGTGTAGCAACTAAGGAGGAGGTTAAAACTGAAAATAAAATTAGGATTTTGAATTTCAGAGGGGGCCAGATGAAGACACTTCAGAACAGAGAAGGGAGAGGTGCAGAAAAGTCTGACGGCTCACTCTTGAATAGAACTTAAATTGCAAAAAAGGAAAAGCAGTTGCCTGCTAGAGTCCATTCACATGGAAAGCACACCTAATTCAATTGGAAACAGCATACACAAATGGGTGCCACATGTATGTCCCTCATTTCTGGTTGGTCTAGTTATCAGGACTGTGTACCTTTGCAAAAGCTGATATCCACCCACTAAGCTGTTTGGGAGAGGGCTGGATTTGGTCCAAACATCTCTCTCTTTCTCTTTCTCTCACACACTGTTAAAATACCCTTGCTCCATTTATATATAACTATAGCAATGTTATCGACAGAGGACATCTAAAAAGGAAAATAAAGAAATTAGCTTTGAATCTATACACTCATTGACTAATAATTTGACTCTAGGACCCAGGTATGCATGCCAAAGGTGTAATCCCTGCAAGCTTCAGAAAAACTATTTTCTTTCATACATATATACATATACATATACATATACATATACATATATATACATATAAATAAAAACGTTTGTGTGTGTGTGTGTCCTGTGCTGATAACATTGCTGCACCTAGCTTGAACAAATTATTTCCAAGAATTTTTCCAAGACCTCTTTAAAGGGAAGGGAAAATGAGAAGAATTAGTGAACTCACTGTGAAAAACTGAAAGCCAATCTTTGTAGAAATCCATATTGTGTACAAATGTTAGTGTTTCCTTAATTTGGCCAGGGTGTGTGTGTGCGTGCGGTGGGAATTTGCCAGCTTCTTTACAAAAAGATTTCACCACCATCATCTATATACGTTTCAGGTATTGTGTGAGATGGATTTTCGAGGAGGGGGCTGGACAGTGATCCAGAAGAGAACTGAGGGGCTCGTTGAATTTCAAAGGACATGGTCTGACTATTTGAATGGATTTGGTGACCTTGAAGGTAGCAATTTGTTATTTGTTAGGACTTTTTTCTGGTTACTCCAGCCCAGCTAGGGACATACAAATTTGGTGCGTCCATGTTTGTTTTTGTTATTATATTTATATCCCTCCCTTTCCTCCAAGGAGCTCAAGGTGACACACATGGTTGTCCCCTTCCCATTTTATCCTTTCAACAACCCTGTGAGGTAGATTCTTCTTATTGGGTTGGCCAGGGGCATGGACGACCCCCACGCGAACAACAGGAACGTTTCCAGCCTGTCCCTCCCATCAGCGTGCAGCTCTAGGGAGTTCCGACAACCTTCCCCGACAATTTATAGTGACTCACGTCTTGGAGACATTGAGCACACATCCAGAGTCCAGCAGAGATAAAACACAGTCAGAGCTAGGCTGGGGTTGTGAACACGAAGCTCCTTTATTAAGCATAAGGCAGAACCAAAGAAAACATGTCTCCTCTCTCTGATCTTCCTCGGAGAGAAGTCAGAAATGAAAGCAACAACAAACGGAAACAGAGTACAGTAAACACCCACTCCCGTGATTCCAACAGTCGGTGCTGGAATGCATAACACAGACGTGTGATGAACCAATCCTACACAATATCTGCACAGTGAGAGGAATAGAAACCCAACACGTCTGAGAGTTAATAAGAGTGGAGGTCCTGAGCTGTATACCTGTGGGAAGTGGGGTATAATTTATAATGGGCGGGAGCCAGGGCTCCGACAGGAACGCCTGTCATATCACCTGGAAAATCCCCCCCCCAAGCTGCTTGGAAACTCAATGGATCCATTGGCCTCCAAGTGCAGAGCATCCTAATGGAACCATGTCAAGCACAATACACTGATATTTACCACTGCGTTTCCTACTTCTGGGGTGACTGAGGGAGCAGATTGTTGTTCAGCTGAACCTATACGTGAAGTTTCAGATCATTGTTTTGTTATGGTAGAAAAACTAAATGGATCAGATTGATTATGTAGCTAGTTTAATTCTATCAATATATAATTGTTTTTTAATGATTGTTTTAATAATAGTTTTTTCTGTGTTTTTAACGGTTCCCTTTTTTATCAGTAAGCTGCCTTGTGTGTATGTCAGAGGAAAAAGCCAGGGTATAAATCAATAATTAAACATAGCTTCCTTTAACTGGTTCAGGATTAATAGCAAACAGATTGAAGGTGTGTGTGTGTGGGGGGGAAGGGATAAATATTCACTTCTGTTCTTTTAGAGTTTTATTTTAATTCTGTTTACAGGGGAATTTTGGCTCGGCCTCCGAAATATTTTCCACATAGCAAACCAGAAAACAGCCAGCTTCATGCTTTATGTGGGCTTGGAGGCTGAAGATGACACGTATGCATACGCATCGTATGACAGTTTTTGGTTAGAGGATGAAGCGTGCTCTTTTAAAATACATTTAGGACGTTACTCTGGAAATGCCGGTAAGACTCAGACGGGAACAGCAGTCTAGCTTTAAAATGATAGGCTCTGCAAATGTGAAAATAGGGTGGCAAGTCAACAAATATAGACAATAAACTATAGAACATCTGCCAGGAGCTCCTGTGTCTTGGCTGGAGCAAGTATCATGATTTCAGAGGCATATTTTCCAAGCTCTGAGATCACCGACGTTGTCATGGCCAAGGTACTCAGCTCCCATATTACACGTTATGGCTGCTTATGTGAACTGCCTTGGGAACCTTTTGCTGAGAGATGGTGTGTAAATCTGTAAAGGGAGTAATTTAATCGACACTGGAGACACTGGAAGGGATTGCATGAGAACCCCCACACAGTTTACTGTATGTCTTTCTAGTAATCTAAGACTACATGTGTATATACACAATTGTGAGCATCCATAATGTAAGACAGCCTTTGCCAGCCTGACGTTATCCAGATGTTTTGGACTACAGCTTTCATCATTCCTGCTGATCATTGGCCACGTGGCTGGGGCTGATGGGAGTTAGCATTTAAAGGGTGCCAGGTTGTGGAAAACTAATATAGACCAAGAATTGGGGCAAGCTGTGTTGCAAGCAATTGCTAAAACTAGGATTCAGCCACCATTACTAATCCCTTGTTTGTTTCTTAGAGGAAAAGATAACTGAGATTTTACTGATAGCACGGAGCTAGGTGGTAAGGCAATGTATTAGGCCAGCTATTTCAGAATAATCTAAGTCAAAACCTTACACACAGTTTGGTTAATAGGCAGAATGATTTCAAGGCAAGTGAAGAGTTTACTTAAAGTCTTCGTTAAAGACTCCACTGATGATGTTTTTGGGCCAGTCTAGAAGCCATAGGTGTTGCTGGGAGACTGGAGCAAACATGACAAGGCAGTCAAAGTCAAGCTGTGTATATTTTGATACTTAGCCACAGAAAGCCAGCTCATACTACAAGGGTAGTGTGTGAATTCTGGAAGAAGTTCCTGCTTAGGCTGTGGGAGTCCTTCAGTAGAAGAGTATTAGGTAGATGTTTCTTTTCGGTGACATCACACATACTTTGCTCACAGCAGAAGTAAAAGTCAGTGTTAGATAATTCAACAGGCCACAGAAAAGAAAGTTGCCCTATAAATCTGCTTCCAGATATTGCTGCTAGGAGCAATTCATGAATGAAGCACTTCCTGTTGTGTCTATTTACGTGTAATATAATTAGCAGAGACTGTTTCTCATCCTCTGCCTGAATCTGTGACGTGCAGAAGAAGTGCAGGAGAATGACAATTTATGTAGGAGCATAACTCAAGATCATCATAAGAGTGTTCTGGACTGGGCCAATGGCCCATCTAGTCCAGCATCCTGCTCTCACAGTGGCCAAGATGCCTAGGGGAAGCCCACAAGCAGGACCTGGGCGCAACAGCACTCTGCCCATCTGCAGTTTCCAGCAATTGGTATTCAGAAGCATTACTGCCTTCATGGTTACTAGCTAGTAAGTATGTAGGGCCCAAGTTAGTCAGGACCTGCACTGTTAAATGCTTAATTCAGATGTGTTTAATTACTTTCCCCTATTTTTTTGTTCCTATAATTTAGGTGATGCATTTCGGGGATACAGAAAACAAGACAACCAGAACACGTTACCTTTTAGTACATATGATATGGACAATGATGGCTGCAATCCAGCCTGCTCTCTCCAGGAGCAGCCCGTGAAGAGCTGCAGTAACTTTAGTGAGAAAACAGGCTGGTGGTTCAGCCAGTGCGGTCTTGCAAATCTCAATGGTGTTCACCGGGTCACAAGGAGGATGCTGGCAACGGGGATTCGGTGGGAAACCTGGACAGTGAATGACAAACCAGTCAAAATTAGATCGGTTTCAATGAAAATCAGAAGAACATATTTCAAATAACGGAACAATGCATGACTTTCTGAAATTAGGCTGTCTGGTAGCTCATTTCAGACTGTAGCACGCAAAGTTTTAGTTTAGCAGTCCATTTCTAGAAATGTTAGAGGCATTTTAGCACTTTCCAGCACAACATAATTATAATCCCACTATGTTGTAGCTTCATTTCTAATATTTTCACTAACCTGGATGCCATTATTGGCTTAAGCCAATGCCTTAAGCATCAATCTCTACAATTCCAGCTTGGTCGGCGTTGCCAATTGAGCCTTCTTTATCTTTAAAATGAATCAACATAACGTAACATCTGGGATGTCATCCTAAGGGAAAAAGTTTGGAAGAAAGGGGGAGGCAGAAGGAGAGCATCTGCTTTGCATGCAGAAGGTCCCCTGTTCAATCCTTGTCATCTCAGGTGGGACTGGAAAAGCCTTTCTGCCTGAAACCCTGGAGAGCTACTGCCAGGAAGTTTAGACAATACTGAACGGCATGGACCAGTGCCCTGACTGGGTTATAATGCAGCTTCCTGTCTTCTTGGTATATCCAAACCTGACTGCTGGCATTTAGGGATCTGATTTGGAAGGGAATCTTACCCACTGAAGAGTGATATGTGCCTGTTTTCCTCAGGCAGTGAGGCAGCAGGGAGAATGAGGTGTGAGTTGGGAAGAAGCCGCTTTTCTTCTGAGATGGCATATCAGGTACATGCATATTTATTCACAGAAAAGAAATCTGTTCGCTGGTACCACACTTGTTTTACCATTGTGCCAGATAGACTCAGATAATAGGAAATGTGCCTTAATTGGCCCCTTTGGGGCTAATTTCAGCCCTGGGAAAGGAAACCAATAAGGCTATTTCTTCTGGAAAGAAAATAAAAAGGAATCACTTAAGGGGTGGTGGAGGGTATTTTTTTATTCTGCATCATAAAATTTCCTTCGCAAAGATTTCTGAAGCACTTACTTTTCAAAGATATACGGCTAAAATGGGCACACTTTTTCTGAGTATTGACAGAACATGAATATTAGTTCATTGTTTAAAATGATCAGGTACTCGCTTATATCCATAAAATTATGTCTCTTATCTTCCAAAAGGTACCACCAATTTGTTTAGGATTTTTGCCCCCGAGATTTATGAATAAAACAGATGGTGGTTTTTTAAAAAAATAATAATTGAAGTTAGGAGCACTGATAGGGTTCATACACAGTGCTAAGCCACCACGCTGTTATTTTATATAATTATGCAAAATGATAGGGCTTGCTTTTCACATCATTATTTTCTGAAGTATAAAACAACTTGCTGGGGTTTGAATGTTTTCCAGCAGGAAGGCATATTAACATTGTTCCCAATGTCTTTCTTTAAAAAAATAAATGGTTTTTTGTGTTTGAAACTTCTGTTTTGTGAAAATCTTAACAATAATAATAAAGTAATATAGCATATGTTCCTGTTTCTTCTCTTCCCCCACTCTCTGGGCAGTGTCGAGTCACATAACCCACGTTTGAGCAAAAATTTGTGGGGAAATTGCTCTGTGGGTATGGGGTGTTAACAGAGGGGTAGTACCTCTGGTGGGGAACACATTGTGCTCCTTCAGGGGTAGCTTGTCCACCCTTGGTCCCCATCCTGCCACTCACCTCTCACCTGTGGCTCTTAGAAGCTGTCAGCATGAGACAGTGGACACACCCTCTGAAATGGCTTTGGCTGGCCGGCTAAACCAGGTGAGGGTAGCAGATGGGTCTCAAACCCTCCATGAGTTAGGGACTTCCCCTGCATGCAAAGACAGGTGAATTGAGCGGACATAGCCAATAGTGGGTCCAATGGTCAAGAAGGCAGTTTCTGCACATTCTGTAGAGAGAAATGAGAGGCAGATGGGGCTCATCAACCTGGGAAGGTATCCCATCTAGGAGAAGAAAACTCTGATCCTCAACCTCTGCTGCCTTGTGGGATATATCTTCTGGAGAAGAAAAGGCTATGGGGTAAATATGTACCCTCTGCCTTGCTGGACATCTTTGGGAGAAGAAAAGGCTAAGGAGTAAACCCTACACAATTCCAGAGTGCATTCCCTCACAGTTGGATGGCGCCATATATGCCTCCTTCTGGCAACTCCAGCCAAGCTGGTGCCAAACGTATTGCTCTGCTTTCCGTTGGACCACATCAGCAAGGCAGAGAGCAGGTTATTTTCGTCTGGGCAGCCCAGGCCCTCCATACACACTGACTAGGCTTGCACCCCAGAGAGGTCACTTGGGTGCTGCAAGTGCAGCAAAAACAACGCAGGAGGTAGCAGTTACAAGGTACCAGTCTCTGCAGCTGCAGGTACTGTGATTCTCTAGCAGTTTAACTTCACACCCGGAGGTGCACTTCATTGTCTCTCAAAACAGACGGATGCCAACAACCTGCGTGGGTGTAGCCACCAGTGTAATTTGCTACCATCACAGTGGTGGGTATCCTGGCTTTCTTGTTTAGGGAGAGCAGGATCTGTTTTCTTGCTTAATCACTTGATTGTTAGCAGGAACTGTGTGTACTATCCCACATTAGTCATAACTTAAGCCCATTTATATCATTAGTTCTACTCTGAGTATGCCTTAGCTGGAGAAATTTATATGCTGCTTGATTACACACACACACACCCTCTCAAAGTGGGTTACAATAAGATAAAACAGTAAAACCTAGAAAAATTCACAGCTGTATTTTAAAACACACAAAAGTCAAAATACTAAACACATCAAAATTACCACTTCTTTCATGGAATAGAGGAAGACTGAGAAGAAAGATGACTGGATGTAGGAACAGATAAATCTATCTGTTGCAGTTTCTCATCTTTCTAATCATTTTAGTTCTCCACATTTCCACATCAGTTTGTGCTTATTATTACAGTGGTACCTCAGGTTAAGTGCTTAACTCATTCCGGAGGTCTGTTCTTAACCTGAAAGTGTTCTTAACCTGAAGCACCACTTTAGCTAATGGGGCCTCCCGCTGCTGCCGCACTGCCGGAGCATGATTTCTGTTCTCATCCTGAAGCAAAGTTCTTAACCCGAGGTACTATTTCTGGGTTAGTGGAGTCTGTAACCTGAAGCATATGTAACCTGAGTTACCACTGTATTGTAAAAGGTCCTAACGAAAGTTCACCAGCATTTTTGTGCCTCCCCCATACACACATTTTCCTTGGTAGAATGCTATTTTATTTTCAGGAATATATGCATTTCTAGACACTATTTCCCATAACATACACATTTTTGTGGATTTGCTAGGAGACGTGCATCACAAAAGTCAGATTTCGGAAGTGGAGATTTTGAAGGATGGCTGCATATGGGGGTCACAAGTCATTTTTGAAAGTGAAAATTGGTATTTTCTTGTAAAAAATATATATATATTCCTGCATCAGTAGCTGGAGTAGAGTGAGCACAGGATCAGAAGTGGGTAATGGGCGACAGAAGGACTGCAACTATGAAATATAATGAAAATCTTCCATTCCTGCAGCCTCCTTCACGAGTGCCTTTTCTCAGTCCTAACACATGCTAGACTGGAAACTTTGCATGTGAAAAGTCTCGGATACAAGATGTCTTTTAGTGTCACTGAGCAGCGGAAAAAATTGTTTCTGAAGCAAGTGGGAAAGTGTACAGCCAGACTCCATCCGACGTGGCAGCAGACACTCAATGTGTTAAACATCTGGAAAGAACAGAGTCTTTTCGTCCAAGGAGTTTCCTTTTTGCTCCGAAAACTCTTTTGTCTGGGCTGCACAGTCTCTGCAAATGTACTCAAAAGGACTAGTGTTTGTGCCCATCTGCGTTATAAATAGAGTTAGCTGAATTCCTCCCTGTAAAATGTATTGACGTACACTTAATTGTTCGTGCATTTGCACTGTACCAGGTTAAGGAGCGGATACTTGATATCAAAGATCACAGAGTTGTTGAGTTGGAAGGAACCTCGTGGGTCATCTAGTCCAACCCCCTGCAATGCAGTAGTCTTTTGCCCAATGTGTGTCTCGAACCCATGACCCTAAGATGATTAGACATTATGGTGAATTTTAATTCTGGAAGAAAAAGAAGAAACGGATGCTCCCCCCATAGGAGCCAACTCCTAGGGGGCTGAAGTCCTTTGACTCCCCCTCCATAAAAATATTTTGAGGGGGAAACCCTCTGTAAAGTTGATGGGCATTGCCATTCAAATAATAATAATAAATATTTATTTATACCCCACCCTTCCTGGTTCAGAAAACCAGGCTCAGAGTGGCTAACAACAAATTTAAAACACTTAATTGATGCATCAAAAAACAGCATAAAATACAGTATAAAACGTGACTAACAATAAATTCAGAATTCAAAAATCAATTTAGGGGGGAAATCTATCCAATAAACATTAGATGATCACCAGGGCTAGCTGGCTAAATTAGTCCTTTTTGGGCCAGCTAGGAGACCAGGGGAGAATTAGCTGTGGGATCCCAAATGGTGTGTGTGCACTGCATCTTGTGATCAATTATGCAGGATGGGACTTCCCTCCCGCCCTATTTTATTCAAGTTGGCACCCCTGGCTCCCCCAAATCCAGAATCAGCACATAACCAGGGAGTGAGAAAGTATCCTTGAGGACAGCGGTCTATAGGCTTCCTTGGGATATTCCTGCTCCAGAAGCAGAGAGGCATGTGCTCTGGGAATATCAGCATTAGTCAAACCTATGCTGCAGGAATGGAAGAACGTTTTTCAGCCAGAGAGTCACATTCCCTTACGCGCAAAAGGGATGAGACTCTTACCTTTGTTCAGTGGGACATGTTCCAGCCACACAGCAGTAAGAGCTTGCATGTATGAAATATATTTGGAGTAGAATATTGATTTCATACTCTTTATTTCAGCTCATAGTAAACAGCGAATGAATCCCCCCCCCCAAACCTCTGGAGATATATACATTATTTACACAATGGGTCCCACGTGATTGGCTGATTCAACTCCCCTCCTGGAGCCTTATTGGGCTGCTCCTGCCGGCCAATCAGGTTGCTGCCTTCTGCCTATTGTTCTAGTAATAGGCTGATTCACTTCCTCCTGGAGCTGGATCGGGCGGCTCCCGCAGACCAATCAGGTTGCTGCATTCTAGGATCCTACCTGCTTATTGTTCTAGGATCCAAGCTCAGTACATAACATAGCTGTCAACCGTCCCTTATTTGGGGGGAAACTCCCTTATCCCAGCGCCGTGTCCCACTGCTGTCCCTTATTGATGATGTCCCTTAAATTTTCCGGGTTTCAAAGGAAGCAGCTCCTCTCCCTCCCTCCCTGCCGGCCAGAGAGGAGGGAGGCTCCAATTGTGTTGCTCCAGCCTCCTCTCACCAGCCTCAGCCCCCAGGATCCCCTCCCCCATAGGACTGGCGGGAGCCTCGGGCCCTTCCGCCGCTATCCTCCTCGCGGACGCTGAACTGAGCATCACTGCCTGGGGCCTCCCGTCTGCCCGCTGCCGCCACTGCTAGGTTGTAGTGCGGCTGCACCGCCAAAGGACCCAGATGAGATGGGCAGCCTGGCGCGGCCTATGAATTGCTGAGGAGCCTTGAGAGGAGAGCGAGGGCAACCATACAGAAAGCAGTTCAGAGAGAGGAGGAGGAGGCGGAGGAGCGGGCAGGTGTTCCAAGGGCTAACCATAGAGGGGTAAAGCGGAGGAAGGACCACAAGCGCTTCTCCCATAGATTTGTAGTGGTAGACTAGCATAGATGGTCTGATCTGCGGGTTTAATTCGGGCGCTATTTCCCCCCCTTCCTCCCTCCCCGCCTGATGGAACTGAGAGCTGCAGATGGAGCACGAGAGAAAAGATACAGAACTGCAGCAGCATCTTCGTAGCTTGGACTTCGTTTTGCGCGAAAAGTGGTTGCTGCTTGTACTTATTTAATTGCAGTGTTTCATCAGCTGGTGTCTTGAGCAGCAACCTCTGGAAATGAAGGGCTAAAAACCGATGCTGCTTTCCAAAATTATCTGGTCCCTTTTAACTTCGCATTTCAGCTGGTTGACTAAAATCCCTTATTTTGGCTGCTGATCCCTTATTTTCGAGGCAGCTGGTCCCTTATTTTCAAATCTGTAAGTTGACAGCTATGGTACATAACAGTGTACAAAAGTACACAGGACACCTCCGTTTTCAATTCATAGAGTCCTTTCTACAGATCAGTTACAGTGGTACCTCGGGTTAAGAACTTAATTTGTTCTGAAGGTCCGTTCTTAACCTGAAACTGTTCTTAACCTGAAGCACCATTTTAGCTAATGGGGCCTCCCGCTGCTGCTGCGCTGCTGGAGCACGATTTCTGTTCTCATCCTGAAGCAAAGTTCTTAACCCGAGGTACTATTTCTCGGTTAGCGGAGTCTGTAACCTGAAGCGTCTGTAACCTGAAGTCTGTAACCCAAGGTACCACTGTACATTCAATAGGAGACACCCCTGTTATAGGCAGCATGAGGCTGGGGCAGAAGAGAGGTGG